TTGTAGGGGACACTATCTTTGAACACAGCTATACAGTATGTTATCCCATAAAAAAGAATTCCATTCTTCTCACTAGTAGATATATGTTTTGAAAAAACCACATTCAATTATTATATTGAATCCCACTAATAAAAACTTTAAGGAAATTTGCTTTGTCTCATGTAACAAGTAGCTATGTGATATTCTCAACTCTGCCTCTTGGCATGAGATGTCAAAAAAATTTGCTATCCCACCCTTTACAGAAAAATTTTCCAACTTCTGGGCTAAAAGATCATATATACACAGATCAATGGAACAGGAAAGAGTTCAGAAATAGACCTACACAAATAAGGCCAATTTTTTTACAAAGGACCAATTCAAAGAAAAAAGAGTAATCTTTTTAACAAGTGGTGCAGCAAGTGGAATCCATACAGGAAAAAATAAACTCATTTTGATCTCTACTTCAATCCATTAAATGAAATTAATTTCAAATAGAACACAAACCTAAACTCAAAACCTAATAGAAAAAAACAGAACATCTTTGTGAACTTGGATTAAGGAAAACAGTCTTAGCTATGACACCAAAATCATAAAAGAAAAACTAGTAAACTGGACTTCACCAAAATTAAAAACTTTTTCTCTGCAAAAGACTGTAAACAGAATAAAAAGACAAATCACAGACTGGGGAGAGAATGTGTGTAAATCGATTACCTGACAAAGGAGCTGTATCTGGAATACATAAAACTCTCAAAACTCAATAATAAGAAAACAAACAACCCAATTTTTTTAAATGGGCAAAAACACTGAAGATGCTTCACCCCAGAAAAGATATATATATGGCAAACAATAGAGAAGGAAATCGCAACCCACTCCGGTATTCTTGCCTAGAGAATCCCATGGTCAGAGGAGCCTGGTGGGCTGCTGTCCATAGGGTGGCAGAGAGTCGGACACGACTAAAGTGACTTAGCATGCATGCATGCATGGGTGGCAAACAAGCCCATGAAAAGACTCCAGCATCATCAGTCATGAGGGAAATGCAAATTTAAACCATAATAAAATACTACTACACAGCTACTAAAATGGCTAAAAAATTTCAAGTGCTGGCAAAGTCACAGAACAACTGAACTCTTATACAGAGCCAGTGTCATTGCAAATTGGTAGAGTTACTTGGGAAAATACTTTGGTGGTTTTTTATAAAGCTAAACGTACACTTCCATGCAATCCAACAATCCCATTCTTTTTACCCCCCAAAATGAAAATTTTTATTTTCAAATGTAAAAATTTTCTTTTTACACAAGAACCTGTCACAAATGATTATAAAAGGCTTTGCTCATAATCTCCCCAAAATTGGAAACTGAGCTGTAAAGCATTTTTTAAAGTATTTTATATGTTTTGATACATCAAATACTCATAGCAATCCTATGAAGTGGGTACTATATTTTATACATGGAACTCAAGGCAGAGAACAGTTAAGACATTAAGATCTGGGCTTCAGTTCAACACTATGTGGCCAGAGCCCATAACCAGTTTTAACCACTACAAATCAATGCCTCTCAATCACTGAATGAAGGAGTATGTGTACAGCCCTTGGTCTAGAAGGCATCCCACAATTATAACATAGTCCTCTGGAAACAGCTGGGGTAGCCCTATTCTAAAATTCTACACTGAATATCAGTAACTACTGTTACTGATATTAAAATATCAGTATTAAATATTAAAGTAATATTCAAAGTAATGTTCAATATTAAACAATATTGAAGTAATGTTCAAAATTCTCCAAGCCAGGCTTCAGCAATACGTGAACCTTGAACTTCCAGATGTACAAGCTGGTTTTAGAAAAGGCAGAGGAACCAGAAATCAAATTGCCAACATCCACTGGATCATCAAAAAAGCAAGAGAGTTCCAGGAAAACATCTATTTCTGCTTTATTGACTATGCCAAAGCCTTTGACTGTGTGGATCACAACAAGCTGTGGAATATTCTTAAAGAAAAGGGAATACCAGACCACCTTACNAGAGTCCCTTGGACTGCAAGGAGATCCAACCAGTCCATCCTAAAGGAGATCAGTCCTGGGTGTTCGTTGGAAGGACTGATTCTGAAGCTGAAACTCCAATACTTTGGCCACCTGATGCGAAGAGTGACTCATTTGAAAAGACCCTGATGCTGGGAAAGATTGACGGCAGGAGGAGAAGGGGACAACAGAGGATGAGATAGTTGGATGGCATCACCGACTCAATGGACATGGGTTTAGGTGGACTCTGGAAGTTGGTGATGGACAGGGAGGCCTGGCGTGCTGCAGTTCACAAGGTCGCAAAGAGTCAGACACAACTGAGCGACTGAACTGAATTGAACTGAACTACTGTATAAAAAGACACATATGTAAGCATATGTAGATATATAGATACTATTTGTGCCCCTCAAAAGAAATAGAGCTACAATATTAGTTTCACTTTAAAAATGTATATAGTATATATACATTTGTATATATACATATGTCCTGCATGCATGCTCACTCAGTCCTGTCCTACTCTTTGCAACTCTATGAACTATAGCCTGCCAGGCTCTTCTGTCCATGGGATTTTCCAGGTGAGAATACTGGAGTGGGTTGCCATTTCTTCCTCCAGGGGATCTTCCCAACTCAGGGATCAAATTCGCATCTCTGTGTCTCCTACACTGGCAGGCAAATTATTTTCCACTGAGCCACCTGGGAAGCCCCTCCATATGTCAGCCAACTATTATGATGACTAGGCTTACTGCCTCTTGTAAAGCCACAAGATTTGATTATGAGTGCCACTATTCATTCTAGGATTTTCCATCAATCTTGAGAAATGTCTGAGCCACGCGAACCCAAAGAAGTGTATTATATAATTTTTAGGAATATATCCATGGTATATGAATGCGACTAACTCACATACCAGAGTGTATTAAAGAGCTCAAGAACCTGAATACCTGGGTTCTGGTCTCAGCTCTATAGTGTACTTTGAAAAAAATTATGACCATTATATGGATCTCCCAATGGAAGAAGCCTAGATGGAGCATTTACGTTTGCCTTGCTTTTTCAGTAGTGGGCCTTCAGCAGAAGGTTGGTGGATTTTTCAGTGATTGGGGGATGCGTGTGTGTGTGTGTGTTTGTGTGTGCACACATATGCATGTTCAGTTGTGTCCAACTCTGTGACCCCGTGGGCTGTAGCCCTCCAGGCTTCACTGTGTTTGGAATTTTCCAGGCAAGAATACTGGAGTGGGTTGCCAATATTTCCTCCTCTCGGGGATCTTCCCAACCCAGGAATTGAGTCCCGGTCTGCTGGGTCTCCCACATTAGCAGATGGACTCTTTACCACTAGCGCCACCTGGGAAGCCCTCAGTAATAGTTGAAGTGAGTCAAGAGTCCAGTTCACTGTTGGCAGCTGCTTGCTAACTGGGAGTCCAGAGCCTGGAATTTTTACATGTGACAATATGCCTTTGCCAGTGACCTTAACACCCTCCCAGTTCATGATAATGATAATAATTACAATAGCAGGCACCCTAACATGATTAAGAACAAAGATATAGAACTCTTTGCAGTTGTCTGCCTTATCTGCAAGATCATTTTTCTTCTTCTAGTAGCCCCACCCATAAAAGGGAAATTCTGAGTCAGCCAGTTCTGTTTCTGGACTTGGTTATGCAGAACTGTGATCAGGTTTAGAAAAGGTTTGAAAAAACTCATGGTGTAACCAACTTAGAAATGGGAAGGATTGGTTCTTGAAATAAAAAAAGATTAAGGAATAGAAGCAGGGTGAAGAGAAGGACCAGTCATCCAGGTTCACAGTTTTTCCCAATACTTTCATTGTGAGGGAAGGGTCCCAGTATACAAGGAAAGATGGGAGAGACAATTTTTAAGATGTTTGTGACATTAATAATCCACTTATTCAGTAACTGCCTTCTATTTTTTTTTCTGAATCCTCATCACAGAGACCAGTCTAGATTAAATCTCTAGTTATAATCTGCTTGTAGGTTCCAGGGCATTGCAATCAGCACTTACGGTTTTTCCCATTTCATTTTGAAATACTAAACATCTTTGAGTTTGGTATTATTTTAATTGAAGGAATAGGAAACTGAGGTTCACGAAGTTTAAGTGCCAGGCCTGCACTAGTTAGGGGATCCGGGCAAGATCTGAAGCCAGGTCTTGGTGGCTTTTTCATTCCACAAATATTTATCAAATGCCTCCTCTGTGCCAGGACCCTAGGATGTCGCAGTGAACTAAGCAACGTCCCTAATGGAGCCCACCTTCTGGTGAGAGAGACAGATGAACAGCAAACAAGTAAATAATACCACTTCGGAGAGTGAAATAAGTTCCGAAGTAAAGACGCGGGGCTCTGCGATGCTCCATCGCTAATCCATAAGGAATCTGGGGGCAGAAATAAGCTCCTGCCACGGGTCATTACTTTACGGTTCAGACGGTCGTGTCCTCACCCCAGGGGCGCACTCAGAGCAGGAGCCCAGCTGGTCAGCAGGCAGTGTCCGGGACCACCGACCTCCGCCAGGAGACACTCGAGGCCCGGCCAAGGGCAGCCAGGCGGCCGGCGGACGTCGGGCCGCGGGAGGATCCTCGGAATCAACGCGCTCACAACCCGGGCAGTCAGGAGCCGAGTGGCCAGCCCCCGACGACTGTTGGCCCCGCGCCGTCCCCTCCTCGAGTCCCACCGCCCCAGGTCACCCCGGCCGGGCCTCGGGACCCTCCCGTTCAAGGTGACCCCTAACCCGACCTCACGACTCTCTCGGCTTCAGGGGACTCCGGCCTGACCTGTTACCCTCCTGAAGCGACCCTGGCTCTGACTCTCGACCCTCCTGCCTGAGGTGACCCTCGAGACCTCGCTACGCGCTGAACTGCGCCCCGGCACTGACGCCACACCCGGGGAGTCTGGGCTGTCCTTGCCCACCCCACGGCCGTTTTCTAGAAATTTCCACCCTCTCCATCTTCCCCAGGGCCTCGTCTGCCTAAGCCGTGTCCTCGCCAGGTCCATGGTGGCAAAGCACCCTTCTACCGTTGGGAGAAGAGGCCCAGAACTCAACGAAAGACCGTGATGGAGGAGAAATGGAGTCGCCCTGCCGCCGGTCTCCGGCGCCGGCCCAGCAGGTGCATCTCCCCGCAATGCCAGGCCGCCCTGACTCAGGCTGCCCCCTCGGCGAGAGCTCTGGGCGTGTCCCCATCCCCGCAGGCAGCTGCCCAAAGCCGCTCCCCTTGGAAAAACTTAACCTTCCCGGAACTAGAACCTCTGCGGAATCCATTGTGCCGAGCCGAGGAGGGTGGACAGACATTTCCCACCTTAAGAGCCGCCGGCCTTCACCCGGCAGACAGTTTGAGCACTTGCTGCTAAAGCCGTGCAGCATCCCTGGCCAGGGAGCGGAGGCAGGGCCGCCAAGGATGCTGCTGGCTCATCTCCGTGCAGAGATTCCCAGTGTGGGTGGGAATGCATTCTCGTATCGGAATCCGCCCTGCTCTCAAACCCTCCTTCTCATGAGCCTCAGGGTGGGGGTCCAGTGGTCCGCTGTCAGTGGTGGGAGTTGTGTGGGGAACCGAAGGAAGAGAACCTCCTGGTCTAGGTGGAAGGGCCTGCAACAGCCTCGGTGCCCATGGTCAGTCTGTATTTGGTATGAATTTGTGTTTACCTAGGTATCCTCTCTTTCCTGAAGTAGACTGTAAGCTTCATGAGGGCAAGGGCCTTCTCCTAAAAGAAGGCTTTGGTTGCATATTTGTCCCTTGAATGAATGCCCCTCCCCACTTCCTGGGACTTTGCCTGATTAAAGACAGTTACCTGCTAGGGTTATTTCTGTTTGCTTGCCCCTCTGCCTCCTGAGCTGTGAGCTCCCTGAAGGCACAGAAAGGCTCTTGTTGGGGCTTGCGCTCCTAGCACATAGCCAGCACTTTGGCACATGTCAAACAATCCAGGAATGCTTGTTGAAGGAGTGGATGAGACCCTGGAGCAGTGTGGAGACTCAGGCAGACGAGGTGCAGGTGGAAGAGTTAGGTTCTTTATCTCCTGAGCAGATGCATCATTTGATTCAAAACACTTTGATGCTGCTTTTTTTTTAAGATTAAGGATATTTTCCTTTAGAATGTTAAGGTCGTTGGAAAAGTAAAAGAAAGGGAAAACAGGTAAAAACTGATGTCATGGGAATCACCCCACCCTTTTTAACTTCTCAGGGTGTTGTTTTGTTTTAATTGAACAATTGCTTACTATGTTCAACAAACAGGATGACATCATCCCTTCTCTAATGTTATCGATCACCATTCTGATGAAACAGCATTTTGGAACAAGAGAGGGAGTTCACATTGTTTTATTTCTTTTAAGTCACTAGCTTTCCACAGTGTGTATGCTAGGAAGTCTCATGGGAACCTGTTTTGACTTAGTCTCAACTGGGAAGGCCCAGGTAAGACTCCCTAATTGGCAGTTTCTTCTCCAGCCCTGCTTCCTGAAACAACAGTAGACTCTTCTGCTCTTGAGGCTTTTGGGGGTATGGGGGGAGCAGAGCAGTCTAGAACTCTGGGGACAGTGATGGGCAAGACTCTGTGCACAACTGGGGACCTTGGGATAGAGCTAAAGAAATTACTTATTCCCAAGTAACTGACCTCAGACAGAATGAGATAAGTGCCACACAGGACATCCAGAAAAGCTGCTGCAAGTGTGCAGAGGTCGAGGGATGGCTTTTGACAAGAACAGAAGGTCTCATCCCTGGCTGCAGATTAGAATCGCCCGGGAAAGAGTCCCAGTCCCAAACCACAGCCCAGAATCTCCAGGGGTGGGCCTCAGGCATCAGTTTCTATCTTAAAGCACTCTAGAAAGTTCCATCATGCAGCCAAGATGAACCCGCAAACCAGTCAGGGTTGTCAGTGGTGGCTGCACAAAGGGGCAAGGACTAGACTGGGAAATAATAAGAAGGATTTCAGAAAACAGAGGCTGGAATAGTGGATGATACTCCAAGCTGACAAAAATCACAGAAGGCCTATGCCCTACCCCCAGGAAAGTGTTAAGCTATGTCCGTCCCTGTCCTGGGAGACTTGGGCAGTGCCTGTCCCCCTGCCTCCCTGAGTCGTCAGCCACATTTGGAGAGATCTGGAGTCGACGGGCAGAGAGGCACCGTTGCAGGAGCTAATGAGCTTGCTGCCTTGTTTGTTACAGAAGATCCATGGTTACCTCTCTTTGGGGACGCTCAATTGCCTCGTTACCTCGTTTCCTATGCCTCGAGAGGCAGGAGGCTAGTGGGACGGCAAAGCAGACCGAGGCTACAGCCAGGGTTAAGAGAGTAGGCGATGGCACAGACTTTGTGGAACTCTCTCCTTGTAGCCTCCTCTGGGCCACACCTTTGGTTTAAAAATATACCCCATCACCTGTTGCTGGGAGCTTCAGTGCAAACTCAGAGCTGTGTGGTTCTGAGGAGCCTGCCACCACCGATCATGGCACTGAGCGTGAGGGTCGCCAACTGGGTCTCCACCTGGGCATCCAGGTGACCCTGCCCTTGAAGCATGGCCTTGAACCTCGCCTTGCAGGGCCCAGGGGGCCATGACCACGTCTTGCAGATTTGTTCCCATCTTATCCACAGAAGGGCCAGTTGTGTGAATAAGTTGTCCAGAAGCTCCTTTCCAGGGCATTGCTCTATGTAAGAGAACTGGAGCATGCACCACCATGTATTTTATTTGTTTATTAGAAAAGATAGCCATGTGGGCACTTCCCCGGTGACCCAGTGGTTAAGACTCCATGAGTTTGATCCCTTGTCAAGGAACTGAGATCCCGCATGCTGTGCAGTGGCAGAGCCAAAAAATAGGCAAATGAATAAAATTTTAAAAGATAGCCATATGCTCCTGTCCTGAATATCATGGACATAGAAGCATGTACAAGTACAGACCTTTTAAATGGATGAGAGGCAAAGTGAACATGATTAATTTTTTCAATAGTGCAAAATCTATTGCACAAATGTATGTTGTTCTTAAAAGAGAGCCAGGTGATCAAGTCTACATCCCATTTATGAACTCTTGGTGAGGCCTGAGCCCAGCATCTGAAGTCTGGTTCTGAGTTCTCTGTATGTCAGTTCCTGGTTTTCTAGCGCTCCACAGTGAACTTCAGGAAGGCAGGCAGACTGTGCTATGCGCCCGATACTTGCTTTTCAATCCCAGCCGCCAATTGTGCCAGAGCTCTTGATGAATCTGGGCTGGTGAGTGTTCAGGGGCTCTCAGGTGTGGGGTAGACATTCTGGTTCCCAAAGCTTTTGCTGTACAGGTGCAAGTGTTCACGTGGATGGTGCTCTTGCCACATCTGTGGCAATACTGTCACGCGCTGGTGTAAACATCCCCAGACATCTGTGTTCATAAACGCTCTGTTCTCAGCACAGGTTATTTTGAAAAGCTGTAACTCACGCATTTTCACCTTTTCCTTGAAGGGATAGATTTGAGTGCATTGGCTTAAAACCAGTAAAGTAACTGACAGTCTGCTGCACTTATTTGTCACTAGAGAAAAAAGAAAAAGATTTCCAGGTTTGAAACTTCTCATGAAAGAAAATGTATATTTCCTTTTTGAGTTCTAAGTGCTCATGATAGACGCTCACCAAATCACTGCAAAGTATCATAAAGCTTTGGCTCTTTAACGGTCTGCTTACAGCCATGATATCCCAAAGTGTGTTAACTCCAACACACCTGAGAGGCGTCAAGTGAGCCAGCGGGCGAGGGCCCATTATCACCCCGCGTCAAGAGGCCCTCCTCCACCAGGGCGCCACAGCCACTGACACACAGACCAGCAAGAGTGCCAGGGCACATCTGTGTATTAAATATTAGTAAAACCAAATTTTTCCTCATTTCTGAAGTAGAATTTCTCTCCATTCCTTTGCTCCAGATTGTCTTTCCCATTGCGCTTGAAGACCAACAGTGGGGTTCACTGGTGGGAACCATCCTCTATACACATGCCTACTGTTTTCAGTCTGATTTTTTAATGTTGCTTGTTGGTATTGGGATAGTCACCTGCGGAATCCACTGAATCAGATATTTTCACAGTTTAAAAGATCATGTACTGGGTAAAAGATTAAGCAAACCAGAACACCCTTGAGCGGACTTACAGCACTTCTGGATGCCCCTCTACCCGCTTCCCGCCCCCACCCAGATTCCACCCCAGGGCCCTTCTTGGCAGTGTCTCAAGGCCTTGGTTGACTCCCCTTCCGGTTCAGTCCCTGCCGCTCCTCCCCCACCACTCAGAGTTACTTTCTGTTCCCCACACACACTTTAATTTTTCCAGAATCCTATAATGCCCTCCCCACCCTAAGGAAACTGGTCTCCTGTGTAACCTCCTGCAAGCCTTCCCAGAGCCACACACTAACACACACACATACACACACACACACACACACACACACACACAAAATCTGGAATGCCCTCCCCACCCCAAGGAAAAAGAAACCTGATGCTGATTTCCTGTGTAAACCTCCTGTGAGCCTTCCCAGAGCCACACACACACAAACACAGCCACACACAGAATCCGGAGCTCCTCCAGAATCTCGAGATGCTTCATTTGGCTTCAGCTGTAGCAATCATAGGTAACGCTAGTGGTAAAGAACCTGCCTGCCAATGCAGGAGACGCAAGAGACGTGGGTTCTATCCCTGGGTTGGGAAGATCCCCTGGAGGAGGGCATGGCAACCCACATCAATATTCTTGCCTGGAAAATTCCACAGACAGAGGAACCTGGTGGGCTATATATAGTCCATGGGGTGCAAAAGAGTTGAACACAACTTTTCAGAACAGTCTGAAGCGACTCAGCATGTAGCGATTACAGTCCATGCGAGCATTTGCAGACTGTTAACTCCTTTGATTAAGAACACTGAATTTCATTTCCGAATCCTTAGTACCTGATGTAAGTGCCCACCACACATAAGCACTTGGCAAATGTTTGCTGGGTGAGTAAATGCTTTTTCGCTTTGTATATCTTGCAAGGCCACAGGCTCCGCCAGCACACAGTTAAGTACTCTTGTGCCTTCCTCAGTGGGTACACACATAGGCTTAAAACGCTGGCTGTTGTGGGCTCCCTGTGTCCATCAGGAAATGCTTTCCTAGCTGAGATGGGTCCTCGCCCACCTTGGTCCTCAGGAAAAGTGCCAAGACCCAGCCAACGTCACCAACAAGGCCATCACTCTCTGTTCTGTGCCTGTGGTCGAGAGGGCAGAGCCGTGATTGTCTGCTGTCCATGACAGGGGCATCTCACGCCTTGGCCTTGCTGAGACCCCTCCCCCCCAGCCATGCCCCCCTCCATGCCTGTGCAGACTTGGCTTCCATGGAAGGAGAGGTGCCAAGCTTGGGACATATCAGAACATGTGATGGAACGCTGTGTGCCTGGCCCCAGGGGCCTGTCCACTTCTTGCTGGCCTTGAGGCCCGCTTGGCAGTGACCTTTTCCAGAAGTGTTTTGTTGTTGTTGTTTAGTGGCTAAGTTGTGTCCGACTCTTCATGACTCCATGGACTGTAGCCCACCAGGCTCCTCCATCCGTGGGATTTCCCAGGCAAGAATACCTCCCACCATTCTATTCTGTGTATGCAGAAATAAAAGCTTCTTTTGCTTGGATGCATAGAAACTGGAGGACATATTCAAGCCCATAGTGAAAAAGTCCCTAAATCAGGAAGGGAGGTGTCAGGACTCAGCACGTGCTGGCGCACACCCGACACAGTGCTCCCAAACTGGGAGCATGATTTTCAGAGGGACCTGGTGCACCCTCAAGAGCATGCTCAGGAGTGAGCTGCCCATGGCTGCACTCACTCTGAACCAGCTCAATTGCTCACCTGAAAAGCAAACACTGAAATAGTCAATGATTTGTGTAATGTTTAATATTTTAACAGTAAGCAAACAAGCCTTTCCGCGGTAGAAAGAGCTTTCCCTTTCTTTGCTGGCTCCGTCCCGGGAGGTGTGAAGTGAGCCCAGTGAGAAGTCCTCAGATGCTCTTGAGGGGCTCTGCGAGCCGAGCCTGGAGTGGACCCACCTGGGCTGGTTCTGGATCCCAGCGCCGCCCCCGCCCCCGCCCCCCGCCACTTCTGGGAGACTCTGAGTGCCGGGGCCTCAAGTGTTTTGAGGAACTTGAACTTCCTTTCCTCGTGTACATTTGCTTTCATAACCAGAACGCTTCCCAGATTTTGTAATTCTGGGAATCTCCTCCTTTAAATCCCTTTTCCACTCAGACAGAGCAGACTGCTGGTCTGGCATTCAGGGAGACTTCAGACAGAGCCAGGCCAGCACAGAGCCCTGTGGGGGGACAGGAGTGCACACGATGGGACTCCCCTGGTGGTCCAGTGCTAGGACTCTGCGCTCCCAAGGCAAGGGGACCGGGTTCAGTACCTGGTCAGGGAGCTAGATCCCATGGCTGAAACTAAAAAAGATCCACATGCTACAACTAAGGCCCGGTACAGCCAAACATATTAATTAAAAATAAATATATATATGATGTCTGTTATGGTAGTGAGGCTCCAGGGATATGCTTTCTTTTTTATTTCTAGTATTAGGTTCTGGGAGAAATATGTACAGATTTTATAGTGGTGTTTGCTGCTTTTAGGGTACACGGGACTGTAGGGGTTCCGTGGTAAAAACAGACCAAGAGGGTGGGATCCTTGCTGTGTGATCCTGCGACAGTCGCTTCCTCCTCATCTGAGAAAGGAGGAGGGTACCAGAGCCAGGGCTGGGTTAGGAAGTTCTGAAATATGAAAGAATAGGAAAGGAAAGTCTCTCATGGTTTGTGGTACTAGGAGAAAGAACACAGTGCTTCTCCAGCATTCTCGGTTTCTGAGAACCATGTTTCTTTGATAGTATTTGGTTCTGCTGAAGTAAACCTGCTTAAGAGATCTCTTTTGCACTTTGATTTTCTAACTCAGTGAGAGGTGTTTTACGATTATTTTTTTAATTATGCCCTGGTGCGCCGCCCCCCTCCCTCCATTTGCCCAAAGGTGCCGGAGCGTCATGCCAGCGAGCCCCAGGCCCCTCCCGATGTCCCATGAGGCGTCCGTGCTCCCGAGCTCCAAGGTCAGCCCCCTGCACTCCAGAGGCCTGCCAGCCCCACCCCAGAGCCGTCCGTGTGGGGCCACCTCTTTCCAGCCAGACCTCCTGTAGCCCCAGAGGACGGCCTTGGCCAGGAGCCACTGCTGGGACTCAGGTCAGTTCCCCGGCATCGTTGTCCGGGGTTGTTCTCATGGGAAGCTGGCTGTCTCTCTGCCTTCCCAGCCCCCTGCGCCTGGAGAAGTGGGATTAAGCCTGGGGATGTGTCCTTTCTTGGCCAGACCTTTCCAGAAAAGGAAGTCATCAACTCCTCTGTCCAGAAGACGTCTTTGAACTGTGACCTTTTCACCCTCCCCTCTTGGTCAAGGAGCGATCGTCTTGGCCACACCAGGCGCCCGTCAGCCAGCCGTGCGGATGACCAGCCCCCGTGGAGGCACCCCTTCCCCATCTTAGCCTGAACCAGTTCTCGAAACTGTTCGCAGACCACAGGCCTTTGTGGGTAACACTACGCGACTACTCTTTTATCAATGGTCTATGACAGACAGGTTTTCCAGCTTATTAATTCTAAAAGAATTCGGATGACTTACTAAGTTGCTGCTTAATAGCTGTTCGTACTATTTTAGCTTTAATCGCTTCACATTTTAATTGTGCAGTTAATGAAAAGCCATATTTTAAGTTAATTTGTAAATAACTTCTCGCAGTTGTGTTTTCTTTTAATATTTATTGAATGCCCTTTAAAGCATACATTTTGAGGAACTACCGTTAGACAGATACGGACAGCCACATTTTTTTTAAAGCAAGAGTTTAAATTAAAAATGAGCTTTCCTGAAAATGATTTTCAACTAACTGGAGACGGAAGTAAAACTGGCTGTTTCAGAAAGCAAACGAGCTCTCGCTCCATGAGCAGTGGGTCTGGAAGTGGGTTCTCTGGGCTATAGTGTTGGAGCAGGTTAACTAGGAAAGGATTTTCCAGCCATTTGTCCGAGTCTCCCTCACGTTCTGACCTGCCTGATGGACGCTGTTGGGTCTGTGTGAGTGTGGGGCCGGCTGGTCACATGCAGGACTCTTCCTGTGAGTCACGGGCGCTTCTCCCCACAGGCAGGACCAGGAGCTGTGAAGGGTCCCTCTCTGCTCCAGCTGCGTCCTTGGCGTGGACAGTGACCAGGAGCTCGCGGGTCACCCTCCTCCGCTGCCCTCACCGTCCACCTTGGGTCCACCCTCGGCCTTCATGCCCGCGGCTTCTAGCCGCGGGCATCCTGGGGCCTTCCTGAGCTCCTCCGACCCCCTCCTTCTCTAGAGGTTAGTGTGGCTCCGTGTCTGTGCTTCTCACACTGCAGTCTCAGAAGGTGGATCTCCCTCAATCCAGGGAGAGCTTGATAAGCCTCTGCTCTTGTTTCCACTGTCACTGTGTTTGGTGATCCATCTCGCATCAGATTCTCCCAGCTCCGTGTGCTGGATTTAAATTAGAACATTTGGGGTGGGATGGGGTTTGGGGTGGGAGGAGGTTCGAGAGGGAGGGGACATAGGTATACTTACGGCCGATTGACGATTTTGTTCAGCAAGAAGCACCGTGACATTGTAAGGCAGTTATCCTCCAATTAAAAAAATATCAACTTTCACAAATGACCTAGAGTAGGTTCTCTCTAGAGGAAAATGATCGGTGTTGTCAGGTGGAGGCCCGCAGGCCACTGCTCACAGTTGAAGCAGGAAAAACTGGTCCTTAGGGCTCCAGGCGGGAGAGCACCTGTGTGTCCTGCAGTGCCTGCTCCCAGGTCAGGGCCCTCACTGCTCCCCCACAGCCCTCTCCAGCTCTCAGACATCAGCCCACAGCCAGGACTCTGAGCTGACTTTGCTTTTACTGTCCTAGGATGGTGGAGAGTAAAGTGTCAGGGCCGGGATTGCATCGGCCTGAGTTTCTGCCAAGAAACTGCATATTCAGGGACTTCCCTGGTGGTCCAGTGGCTCCGACTCAGCGTTCCCAATGTAGGGGGCCCAGGTTCGATCCCTGGTCAGGAAACTAGATCCTGTATGCCACAACTGAGATCCGGCAGATCCACATAAATTAAAAAAAAAAACAAAAAACAGCGCATTCACATGAACTGAAAAGAACATGTGAATAATGTTCATCATGATTGCCACTCTGGTGGTCACGGTGCATCTGGTTCCAGAAGAAACTAAGTCAGCTTCCTAACAGGGCGTGTGTTCCTGGAACTCACAGAATAGGACGGAACAGACCTGGTGCCTCCTCCCCCGGGAGCTGGTCTGAGTCAGGCCGGGACACAAGCAGGTGCTGAGGGCCTGTGTCTCAGGACTGGACTGTCCCCCCCCCACCTCCTACCTTCCACCAACACCATTCTCGTCTCACATTCACCCTGACCCTGTCTTTGGTCCACAACTAGCAGCCCCTCCAGCGAGGATGGCAGTGCTCAGGCAGCTGGCGCTGCTGCTCTGGAAGAACTATACTCTACAGGTGGGTCCGGCTCTGTGGGTGCTGAGGGGTGGGGGGCAAGGGGCCTCGTGGAGGGGCATTGGTGGGAGGGGCTGCGGGGCCCTCCACCTCCAGCTGAGGGGGTGGTGAGGGGCCTGGTGGAGAGGCATCGGTGGAAGGGGCTTTGGTGCCCCCTTACCCCGAGGTCCCGTCTCTCCCCAGAAGCGGAAGGTGCTGGTGACCCTCTTGGAGCTCTTTCTGCCCCTGCTGTTCTCTGGGATCCTGATCTGGCTCCGCCTGAAGATCCAGTCAGAGAACGTGCCCAATGCCACCCTCTACCCCAGCCAGTCCATCCGAGAGCTGCCCCTCTTCTTCAGCTTCCCTCCCCTGGGGGCCACCTGGGAGCTGGCCTACATCCCATCCCAAAGTGAGGCCGTGCGCACGGTGGTGGAGAACGTGCAGAGGGCGCTGGTGATCAACCTGCGAGGTATGGTGTCTGGGGGCTGGGGGTGGGGGGGTGCTGTGGGGGTCCGTAGCACTGCTAGGCTCAGGCCTCAGGGCAGGGCTGGTGGTGTGGGAGCCGGGCAGCGGCTGGGTGGATCCCGCCACCCCCATCATGGCCGCACTGCCTGAATCCCTTGGCCGTGTGGAGTCTCAGTGTAGCAGGAACCAGGGTCGTGAGGGTCACGCGAAGGAACGTGCATGACGGTTTGCAGCCCCCAGCTGTTCTAGTGGGGAAGGCATCCACATACCCCAGCGCAGTTCTTTATCACGAGGGCGAGGCGTGTTTCCAGAGCCCAGTGCCGGGAACCTCTCCTGGGATGTGGTTTTGCGAGGGCGGCTATGACAAAGGTCAGCAGGAAGCCCACTGAGGGACACCCCATGAAGTGTGCAGCTGCCCTGGCTGGGTCTGTGCTCTGGGAACAGAGTATCTCCCCTTTTCTCTTGCTCTTGGTTTGGGCACCGCCCTCCCTTGATCTGTACGGTCCAGTGCAGCCAGGAAGGGTTCTGCTTCCTCCCTGGGGGATTAAGAGTCAAATCCTTCACGTGAAACGGGGTCTGGATGAGAGAGATCCCTGAACAGACTATGCGTTCACACCTCCTTGGGTTTTTAGAGCCCACTGTTACGGTTCTGAGAGAGAGGCTGATGCAGGCTGCAGAATTCAGGGCAGGGTGGCCGCCCCCAGAGAGGGGCCGGTGACCACTCAGTACTGCTGCTGGCCCAGCTCCGGTTCTCAGCTTCCAGAAGCCCAGGGTCCGCTTGGATCGCGAGGTTCTGCCGGTCTTCACCGCAGCCCGTCTCTACCAGAAACAAAAGCCTCCTCGAGTCTTAGGAGAGGTTTACAAAGCGCTTGAAAAACTTGGGAGTTTTAGTCCTTGATCTGAAGATGCAGTTTTTTCAAGCAGAGCAGGCGATTGGGCAACTCCAGGCGCCCCTTCTCCCCACAGCTCATGGCTTCGCCTCTGAGAAGGACTTCGAGGACTACATCAGATACGACAACCGCTCTGCCAACGTGCTGGCCGCCCTTGTGTTCGAGCACACCTTCAACCACAGCCGGGACCCCCTGCCGCTGGCGGTGAGGACCCCAGCCCCAAGGAACCCAGCTGCTTCTCCAGGAGGCAGGCCGCTGGTAGCCACGGCCCCCTCCCCACCCGCATTCGCTCTGCCTGCCTGGGAACAAATGTGACTGTCCCCTGGATCCAGAAGTTTTAGAAGCCTCGCCTGCCTGAGGACAGTGGCTGTAGGCCTTCGCTGTGGCCCCTCTGTCCCATTACTCTGTAAAAGGCATTACTGATCTCCCGGGACAGAATCAAATAGGACAAGTAGGAAAGTCACAGATACTTGGAACTTGGTGTCCCGTGGCATTAGAACTTCAGTCACACATTTAAACAAACAAAAAGAAAGGTTTTCTGGTTCCCCCGCCGGCATTAAGGCTGGGAAGCCGTCGGGTCCCCAGCCTTACACCAGAGGCCTGCTGGTCAGTGGTGATGCGTCACAGGTGGAATTCCCGTTGGTGACGCAGAGGAGGGTGTTGATGGGTGGTGCAGAGACGCCCCCGGGCTCCCTGTGCCCCAGCAGGACCACTCCCTTCCACCCCCTGAGACCCAGACCTTGGTGGGGGCAGTGCTGAGATCACAGGAACGAGGGTCCCCCAGCACCCCCACACTGGACGCGGACGTTCGCTCCTCTGGCCAGACCGCTCACAGCACTTGGTTTCGTCTTTACTTCTGCAGGTGAGATACCACTTACGCTTCAGTTACACGCGAAGAAACTACATGTGGACTCAGACAGGCTCCTTTTTCCTGAAAGAGACAGAGGGATGGCACACCACTTCCCTTTTTCCACTCTTCCCAAACCCAGGACCCAGGGAGCCCACGTCCCCTGACGGCGGAGAACCTGGTGAGGAGCACTTTCAAGGGGCCGCCTCCCCTCCGTGGGTGCTGGCTGGCGACAGTCACCTGGGGGAACCCACTCTGCATTTCTTTGGAGGAAGGTTTTTTAATAATCTTACTTATTTGTTTGTTTATGGCTGTGCTGGGTCCTCATTGCTGTGTGGCCCTTCCTCTAGTTGCGGAGATCAGGGGCTGCCCTTCCTCACGGTGCCCAGGCTTCTCGTGGCGGTGGCTTCTCTTGTTGTAGGGCACAGGCTCTAGGCTCCCGGGCTTCAGCAGTCGCTGCTTCTGGGCTCTAGAGCACAGGCTCAGGGGCTTGGTGCCCGGGCTTAGTAGCTCCGTAGCGTGTGGGAGCTTCCCAGATCAGGGATGGAACCTGTGTCTCCTGCATTGGCAGGTGGATTCTGTACCACTGAGCCACCAGGGAAGCCCTGGAAGAAGATGTTTTTATGAATATTAGATCTTCTTTGCAGAAGAAGGGGAGCTTCCCAGGTGGCGCTAGTGGTAAAGAACCCGCCTGCCAATGCAGGTAACATAAGAGACAGGGGTTCCATCCCTGGGTCAGGAGGATCCCCTGGAGGAGGGGTACAGCAAACCACTCCAGTATTCTTGCCTGGAGAATCCCATGGACAGAGCAGCCTGGCGGGCTACAGTCCATGGAGTCACAAAGAGTAGGACACAACTGAAGTGACTTAGCACGCACGCAGTAGAAGGAAGACATCCAGTAAGCCTGGATTCTGAGAGACCAAAATAATCTTTAAAAACACCTAAGGCATGGTCTCTTGAATAAAATTTTTCTGTTTCATTTTTAAGGAGCTTCAATTTGCACAGGGTCTTCAGGGCTTGGTTCCGCATTTCCCTTCTCTCCTGCCCTTCTCTGTGTACAGTTCCGTAGGCTTTGTAAGTTCTGTGCTCCTTGTGTAATTGTCCGTGATCTCATGGAGTCAGTGGAGTGTTTGCAGAACTCAGATCTTGGCTCTTTGTCCCATCAGGGTGTGTGTTGGTCTGTCCTGTGTAACTCCGGCATGTAGTTGGCTTGTTTGTCTCCTGTGACCATGGTTCCATCTTAAAACTGAGTTTCTGGGCTCCAGGACTATGCTTTGCCCTCAGGCCAAGACCTCCAGGCAGCATCCTGGGTGTTTCAAAGAATGCAGAATTCCTAATTCCTAGGTCTGCAAGAGGCAGAACTTGTTAGAGAGTCTGATGAAAAGACCCAGGAATGTCCCTAAACAGAGCCCAGGACTGCAGGAGGCAGCCAGCCTCTGGAGATGCATTTCAGAGGCCAGGGCCCTGTCATCAGGCTAAAGTTCCAGGGAGAAAGTTTAAATCTGAAAGTGGAGCTGGGACAAGCAAGGCAGGGTGAAGTGTGTAAGCCCCACAGTAGACCCCCAGGCAGGTCCCGGACTGGGAGGAGAAACCGTGTCCGCTGCCACACCCACTGCCTATGGCCTGCGGCAGGAAACACTGGCTAGGGTGAGCCAGGGCAGGGCGTGGGGACAATTTCCTAAGCTTGGAAGCAATAGAGGAAACAGTTCCCCAAAGAAAAGCGTGACAGATTTCACTGTGTACAAACTTGAAATTTGCTTAAAAAAAAAGGAAAGGTTGGACCGGGGTTTTTAAACCAGGGGCTTGGGAAACACTGCAGCAAAGGATGAAGGGTGAATGCTTCCTGTGTCATAGAGAACTCCTTAGTCCAAATCAGCTTAAAAAACCCTCCAAGACCCCGAGAGGCGTGGAAAGGACGTGAGCCTGGCACACAGCAGCTAACCCCTGCCGTGAATTAGGCCAGAATTGTCCCCAAGCCCACTCCCAAGTGTCCCTGCCTTAAGATCCCTGATCCCTGATAAAGACACAGCCCCTGGAATAGCCTGAAAGAAGGAGAAAATCCAGATACACAAAGATGTTTCCCACGGCATTATTTACGATCATTAAAATTTCAGCTGTGGGGCCGTGATTGATCACAGAGGGTAGCTGCTCGTCAGTGTTGAGCAACCACAGAGGTGGTGGTGGTGAAGACCCCGCGGCAGCGTGCGTGGCCTCGTGGGGGAACCACATGTGAGCAGGAACAGGCGGGGTGTTTCCTGGGGGAGGTGGCGTGCAGCCAGACAGACGCTGGCTCTCGGGCCAGGAGACGGGTCCCACTTGGCTGCAGCCCTTCCTGCTAGGCGGGGGCTCCACACCTGGGCCTCGGTGGCCCTGTGTGTCCCACGAAGACAGTGTTGCCTATTCTGCAGGGTCTTCGTGAAGACGAGAACTTGCTTAAAAAACCCTCCAAGACCCCGAGAGGCGTGGAAAGGACGTGAGCCTGGCACACAGCAGCTAACCCCTGCCGTGAATTAGGCCAGAATTGTCGCCAAGCCCACTCCCAAGTGTCCCTGCCTTAAGACCCCTGATCCCTGATAAAGACACAGCCCCTGGAATAGCCTGAAAGAAGGAGAAAATCCAGATACACAAAGATGTTTCCCACAGCATTATTTACGATCATTAAAATTTCAGCTGTGGGGCCGTGATTGATCACAGAGGGTAGCTGCTCGTCGGTGTTGAGCAACCACAGAGGTGGTGGTGGTGAAGACCCCGCGGCAGCGTGCGTGGCCTCGTGGGGGAACCACATGTGAGCAGGAGCAGGCGGGGTGTTTCCTGAGGGAGGTGGCGTGCAGCCAGACAGACGCTGGCTCTCGGGCCAGGAGACCAGGGTCCCACTTGGCTGCAGCCCTTCCTGCTAGGCGGGGGCTCCACACCTGGGCCTGGGTGGCCCTGTGTGTCCCACGAAGACAGTGTTGCCTATTCTGCAGGGTCTTCGTGAAGACGAGAACTAAACCGCCACCCCACACAGCGAGGGGTACCGTTCACTGGGAGCCTGCTGTTATCACAGCCATGAAACCACTTTTAAGGGAGATGCAGACTTGATGGCCTTGAGCTGGGGGTGGGCATAGAATTGCTTTTCTGTTTTCCAGAGGCAACTGACAGTTCAGTGTCAGAGGACTTTAGGTGTTCTAAACATCACTCACTATTTTAAGGACAAGGATGCCCACGCCACCCAGGCCTGCACCCCGTGTCCCCCAGGGCTCGGGCCTCAGGGACCCAGGCCTTCCTTCTGAGGCTGTGCCCACACTTCCGTAGGCTCAGCCCCTAGCAGGCTTTGCTCTGGACTGGAATATGTATCCTCCCTCTCTTTTTCACTGTAAAAGTTTTATCACAGACGCCTGTGAGGAGTCACACGGGGCCGGCAGAGAGGGATCACAGAGCACACAGAGATGTGTAGTGCTGGCCTCTGGTCTGTGGATCCCGCCTCCCTGTGAGATGGGAATGAACGCTGCTGATCAGCTGGTCTCAAGGGAGCGAGACTGTTGTCGATTATCTCAATAGGTCCTTAAAAGCGGGCAAGGGAGGCAGAAGAGAGACAGAGAAAGATGTGACGATGCGGAGGCCAGTCAGAGATGCTGCCTGGCCGGCTGGGAAGGTCGAAGGCTGGCTCAGGAGCCAGAGAGGGTTGAGCAGCCCATGCGCACGGCAGGCCTGCAGGAGACCTCATCCCGTCACCAGCTCAGTGCCCGTGGCGCTCCGAGTGCCCACACCGGGAGTGACGTCCCCCACGCGTGTCAGCCCCACGAGCCAGAATGCCCTCTGCCCCCGCACGCAGGTTACATCCGCGAGGGCTTCCTGGCCGTGCAGCATGCAGTGGACAGGGCCATCATGCACTACCATGCCAATGCCTCCACGCACCAGCTGTTCGAGAAGCTCACTGTGATCGCCAAGCGGTTCCCTTACCCGCCTTTCATCTCCGACCCCTTCCTGGTCGCCATCCAGTACCAGCTTCCACTGCTGCTCATGCTGAGCTTCACCTACACCTCCCTCAGCATCATCCGGGCCATCGTGCAGGAGAAGGAGAAGAAGCTGAAGGTAACCCTTCTGTTTCTGCTTGGAGGGACCCTGGGTTTAGGCTCTGTGCGGCTTCAGGTCGTCCTGTCTTGAGTCCTGCTGTCCAGCCTGGGCAGCTGCTGGGCACTGAGGTCACTGGAGCAGCTGGGCATGAGGCTGATGCCCACAAGGTTCAGCCCACCTTGGGCTTCTCTGAAATCAAGCCTGGTCCGTCCAGATTTTTACCACCCTGATAAAGCACCATAGTTCATATGCTGTACACTGAAGACAACCTGATGGCTCAGACAAGAAAGAATCTGCCTGCAATGCAGGAGATCCAGGTTCGATCCCTGGGTCGGGAAGATCCCCTGGAGAAGGGCATGGCTACCCACTCCAGTATTCTTGCCTGGAGAATTCCATTGACAGAGGAGTCTGGCAGGCTGTCGTCTATGGGGTTGCAAAGAGTTGGACCTGACTGAACGACTAACACTTTTTTACTTTTCATGCTAAAGACTGAATATTGAAAAGACAGTGTTCTGAATACATCAGGTTAAGTAAAACACATCATTGAAACTAATCTTGGTTAAGTAAAACGCATCATTGAAACTAATCTTACTTGTTGCTTTAAACTTTTTTGGGGGGGGCCTTGCCATGAGGCTTGCAGGATCTTAGTTTCCCAACCAGGGATTGAACTCAGTCCCTCAGCAGTGAGAGCACAGAGTCTGAGCCACTGGACTGCCAGGAAATCCTCCCTTTAAACTTTTTTGATGCAGCTGCTGAAATTCCGAATTATGTGTGTAGCTTGCATCCTGTTTCTGTTGAGACAGTATCTCGACGGGAGACAAACGTTCCCCTACGTGGTGAGCAGGAAGCTAACTATGGGTGTAATCAAGGGAGGCCAGAGTGTCCGGCTGCTAGGCAGACTCTGGGGGCCAGGGAGGTGTGTGAGGTGCATCTCACCGATGTGACATAGCTGCAGACAAACTGGACCAATAGCATCCCCTGCAAGCTCCCAGCGCTGACTCTGCCAGTCATCAGAATTTACGTGAGGTTCTCCCTCTAGCTCAGCTGGTTCTTCCCTGTTAGCTCAGCTGGTAAAGAACCTGCCTGCAATGCAGGAGATCCTGGTTCGATTCCTGGGTCAGGAAGGTCCCCTGGAGAAGGGTAGGCTACCCACTCCAGTATACTGGCCTGGAGAATCCTCATGGACAGAGAAGCCTCGTGGGCTACAGTCCATGGGGTTGCAGAGTCAGACACGACTGAGTGACTAAGCACAGCATAGCACTCCCTTTATTTAGCAATGTCTACAGTGCCAGTGGAAGGGCATTTAGAGTGTTCTTAGCAGTGCCAACTCTGTGATTATTGGAGCTTTTAAACTGCTGCAAACAAGGGGCTCGGGGAACTCATGAGGTGGGTCCTGTTTGCTTGGCGCCTAAATAACTTTAAGAAAACAGTGCGGTGTTGAAACAGTCAGCTGTGGGCGAGGACACAGTTCAGGAGAAAGTGTTGGTGTGTGTACACGCCCCCAGATACATAGATGGACCCAGCATGACCAGATGCTGAATGATCGCTGAACCCAAGGGGTGGGGGTGTGGGTGGCCACCACTCCAATCGTCCCATTTCTCAGGCCATTTGAAATTGTGAGTAGGAAGCTGGGAAATCAGCCTTGCTTGGTTGCTGGCCCAGGAGAGATGCTTCATCGGCCCTGGTCCCCCCCTTCCCCCAGAGCAGCGTGGTCCGTGCAGATAGACGGGCCTGGGTCCACCCACTCTGCAGGCCCACTGGGCACCTGCGGCAGGCAGGGCTGAGGAGCAGGATTTTTAATCTTAGTTAGTTTCAGCCACATGAGCCCTGTGTGGCTGCGGGCACGGCTGTATGGGCCAGGGCAGGCGCGGCGTGGCAGAAGTGCTCTGGGGCCCGGGGAGGCTGCGTGGACCAAGTGCAGCAGTGCCCCTGTGCCCCCAGGAGTACATGCGTATGATGGGGCTCAGCGGCTGGCTGCTCTGGACCGCGTGGTTCCTCCTCTTCTTCTTCCTCCTCCTCGTCGCCGTCTCCTTCATGACTCTGCTCTTCTGCGTCAAGGTGAGCGTAGCCCCGGAAGGGAGTCTGACATGAAAAGCAAGGCATCCGGGGTTGGGGGGTGGGGGTGGGCAGAGACAGCCGTGGCACCCCCAGGGAGACCCCCGAGACTCCGCCCTGGCGAGAGGGAGAGCCGTGTGGCGCCTCCTCCTGCCCGTCCCAGCTTCGATGTTGGAGACTCCCCCCCGGAGGGCACGGAGGTGGCCCTGTGTCCCTGTCCCCCGCCACCACCTGGCCCTGCCGCGCAGGTGAAGAAGGACGTGGCGGTGCTCGCGCACAGCGACCCCACACTGGTGCTGGTCTTCCTGGCCTGCTTTGCCGTCTCCTCCATCTCCTTCAGCTTCATGGTCAGCACTTTCTTCAGCAAAGGTGAGTTGTCCTGCCCCTGGGAGCCGAAGTCTCAGGGGACCCCCAGCTCAGAAGATGGCGGTGTTTCTCTTAGGATGAGTGAGGCTCCAGGGTCCGAGGGCATCTGAGCCAAAACGACCCAGGGGCCGAGGTGTTCTTTACTCCGCGCATCCTCCGCCTTCAGCTTTCTAGGTGTTGGCGTACATCCTTGAACAGTTCTCTCAGTGAAGCTTGGCAAGGGGTTAATACTCCTTGACTTTCTGTGTCCCAAGAGGGCTCTGTTTTGCCCTCACTTCCGAAGGCTGCTTTAGCTGAGTGTAAGCGTCTTGGCACTCTGATAACATTAGCTTGTGGCCACAGGGCTTCCCTTATTGCTGGGGAGAAGCCTGCTGACAGTCTAGGTCTGGTTTTTCTGTGTGGATGTTTGGATCTGAGGAGATCAGACCTTCATTTCAGCTCATCATCTGTCAAACATTATTCCCCCATCTCTCCTATTAAACCTGACTCAGAGCCTCTCAGTCTGCCCTTCATGTCTCGTAACTTCTTTTTTTTATTATTGTGGTAAAATACATAGAAATTTACCACTTAACCAAATTTGTTTGTTTGTTTCTGGTTGCACTGGGTTTTTCACTGCTCCACGAGGCCTTTCTCTAGTTGTGAGCAGGCTTCTCCTTGTGGCAGCCCCAGAGCTCAGGCTCAGCCGCTGTGGTGGGCGGGGTTAGTTACCCCGAGGCATGTGGGATCTTCTTGGGCCAGGGATCGAACCCGCGTCCCCTGCAGGCAGATTCCTAACCACTGGACCACCAGGGAAGCCCCTGATGTCCTCAACAGATCTTTAGGGCATAAAGAAGTCTTCAGGCTGGAACCTGTGGGGGTCACTGCATGGACTAAAGCCCCCTGTCTCCCACACCTCCAGCACCCGTGGACACTCTCCTCTTTCAGGTCTTTCCCACGTGTCACCTTCCCATCCAAGCCTCCCTTGGTCCCCTGGTTACAGTCACAGCCTGCAGCCCAGGGTGCCTCTCGTCCCGGGTCAGCGGTTTGCTGCCCCTCGCAGGCTGTGCTCACCCGGCATCCCTGCCTTGCTGGCTTTCTTGTCTGCCAGCTGTGTCCGTGCTGGTCCTAGGCTCCCCCAGTTCCACCAGCTGTGTGCATGCTGGTCCTAGGCTCCCCAAGTTGAGGGCCTTGCCTCCCTGGTGCCTGGACCAGGGCCTGGCACAGAGCGGGTCCAACAAGAGTGAACGAGTGAAGGAGACGGGGCAGGGCTGGGGGTGCTCAGTGGGCGGTCAGGGCTCAGTGCTGGTGACGTCAGGAGAACGCAGCTGGAGGCGGGTCTGTCGGAGAGGGTGGAGCAGTCACGGTGGGGTCCCTGGGATGGGGCAGGTATGTGCCACCCCAGGTGGGGTGGTGTCCCCTGCGGCATCGGCAGCCCGGCCCGGGAAGAGGCTGTGGACTGAGTGGGGGCCCCCTAACCAATGTCAGGTCGGGGTCAGGCAGTCGCCCGAGGGCCAGGCCCTTGGTNGATCTCAGGCCCTTGGTGCCCGGGGGCCCGGGGGTGCGCACGCCCGCCTTGCCCTCTCTCCGTCCACAGCCAACATGGCAGCAGCCATCGGCGGTTTCCTCTACTTCTTCTCCTACATCCCCTACTTCTTCGTTGCTCCTCACTACAACTGGATGACGCTGAGCCAGAAGCTCTTCTCCTGCCTCCTGTCCAACGTCGCCATGGCGATGGGAGCCCAGCTCATAGGGAAATTTGAAGCCAAAGGTGAGTCATTTCCCTTTTTACAGCTGCCCTTGCTGGTGTAGTTGCCCTGAGAGGGTCTGAGCAGAGGGCCCTCCAGCCCCGAGACGCTCGCTCCAGCCACGTCAGTGCAGCTTCACGAGCCAAGCACCCGGAGGCAAGTCCTCATGATGGGGAGCAGGGGCCAGAGCCACAGGGGAGGCAGGTCAGACACACGTGGCAGACTGGACAGAGAGTCAGGGTGTCCACCGCGACATCGGCCACCCCCCGTCCCTGCTCTGAGCTCCCCATGAAGCCCTGCCTGGGGCCAGCTGTCACTGCTGGAAGACACTGAGACGTGAGAGTCTGCATCTGCCGGTGGTGGGGCTCAAGCTGGTCACCTCTGAGTCTCGGCCTGCCTCGGGACTTTAGGGTTCCTAGGCCTGGGGTCTCAGTCTGTGGGCTCGATAGCTCCCAGTTCTCGGTAAAGCGGTGGAATTAGCATCTCCCCTCCCCCTGTTTCCCTGATACTTCCTGCAGGGATTGGCAGTGAAGACAGGGAACCTGAGAGAGGAACAAGGGACGCAGCAGGACATGGCTTTCTTGGGTTTTGTGACATTTCCTAACTTGTAAAATGTCATGTGTAAGTTGCTCAGTTGTGTCTGACTCTGCCACCCCATGGACTGTAGCCCTCGAGGCTCCTCTGTCCATGGAATTCTCTAGGCAAGACTCCTGGAGCGGGTTGCCATTTTCCTTCTCCGGGGGACCTTCCTGACTTAGGGATCGAACCCTGGCCTCCTGCATTGCAAGCAGATTCTTTGCACTCTGTGCCACTAGGCTTAGATGTAAAATGTCTTGGGGGTCATAACACTGCTGGGCTGATGCTGGCCTGGGGGCTCCCGTTTTTGCTCAGATTTCACTTGACAATGGAATCAAGGCTCCTCTGAAGGGTTGAAAGTGCACCTGGTTTAACCCTTCGCCCCACACCTGCTAGATCTCCAGTGGCAGAGCACTCACCTCTCAGGAGACAGCCCTGATCATTCCGATCACTCAGACCCTCTCACGGAAGGGCTTGAAGAGGTGCATGGACCCAGACGTGGCCTGCCTTCTTGCTTCCTCGGCTCTAAGCAGAGGCAGGAGGGACAGGATGGACTTCCGCATGGCCAGTGTTGTGCTGGCGTCCGTCCTGGGAAACCTGGCGCTGCTCTGCTCGCAGGAGGGGAAATGCAGCCCTGCTTCTCAGCCCTGCCCCACGCGGATGTTCTCTTTCAGGCACAAAGCCTGCGTTTCTTCAGGCCTCAACCCCTACTTCTCATGGCTTCCTGGCTGTGGTCTAAGGAGGGAGGGCATTGGCTGATGCTGGCCTGGGGGCTCCCGTTTTTGCTCAGATTTCACTTGACAATGGAATCAAGGCTCCTCTGAAGGGTTGAAAGTGCACCTGGTTTAACCCTTCGCCCCACACCTGCTAGATCTCCAGTGGCAGAGCACTCACCTCTCAGGAGACAGCCCTGATCATTCCGATCACTCAGACCCTCTCACGGAAGGGCTTGAAGAGGTGCATGGACCCAGACGTGGCCTGCCTTCTTGCTTCCTCGGCTCTAAGCAGAGGCAGGAGGGACAGGATGGACTTCCGCATGGCCGGTGTTGTGTTGGCGTCCGTCCTGGGAGACCTGGTGCTGCTCTGCTCGCAGGAGGGGAAATGCAGCCCTGCTTCTCAGCCCTGCCCCACGCGGATGTTCTCTTTCAGGCACAAAGCCTGCGTTTCTTCAGGCCTCAACCCCTACTTCTCATGGCTTCCTGGCTGTGGTCTAAGGAGGGAGGGCATGGGTGTCCACTAGAACCTTCAGTGTGGCTTTATCCTCCAGTAGAATTTTTTTCTTCAGCTGACACTAGGACTTTTAAATATATGTGTCTCTCTGTGTTCAGCAGTGTGTGATAAACTATAGTTTTTTTTTTTCTTAATGCACAGTACCTTCCAGGATTCAGATGCTCTTTAAAGTAGCCATTTACAAAGAGAAGTCAAACTAGATGGCACCTCCCAGTTTTCAAAATTCTATACTGAATTTTCCTAAAACAGACAAATTTGTAGTTGTTTGGAAGTGAACAGAGACCAAGGCTGGAGACCAGCCATTTCTACCAGGGGCCCTGGAGTCAGCCACATGGAAACCCCCAGGCATCCTTTGGACGGTGATGCTACAAACCCATGAGAAGAGAGAGCACCACGAGCACCGCTGAACAGAACTCTATGTGCACTGACATGTTTCCCTTCTCTGAAAAGACCTGTATTAGATGCAGCCTGTTCCAGTGCTGGCCTTACCCAGACCTCATTCGTGTGTGTGTACATGTGTCTGTGTGTCTGTGTACAGATGTGTTGTGTAGATGGACTCATGTTTGTACACGTATATGTCACAAATCAAACGTGAGCCCCTCTCGTCAGTTCATGAGCTTTGCTGGTTCTGTGACACCGATCTGGTGACCTGCTCTGAAAGGCCAGGGGAGAGCTGTCAGGTTTGCTGGGAGCGGGGAGCTGTCACACTGACTGCCCTGCGGGTCCGCGTCAGACCCATCTCCTGGCATGTCTTCCAGGCACAGGCATCCAGTGGCGAGACCTCCTGAGTCCCGTCAACGTGGATGACGACTTCACCTTCGGGCAGGTGCTGGGCATGCTGCTGCTGGACTCCGTCCTCTACGGGCTGGTCGCCTGGTACGTGGAGGCTGTGCTCCCGGGCCAGTTTGGCGTGCCCCAGCCCTGGTACTTCTTCATCCTGGTGAGTTCTGATGGCCACCTGCGTGCCCCGAGCCCTTCCGTCCCCTGACCTACATTGCCCAGGTCCGAGAGGAGGAGCTGGCACCGGCCGGCTGGCTACAGGGCCTGCACACAGCCCCACCCAAGCCTCCTTCCTCAAAAAATGTCTGGTTGGGCTTTCTGCTCACAAAGTAACAGAGCTTCTTGCAAAACTGATCACATTTCTAGAGTGAACAGCACAGTCCCACCACCCAGGGAGGAACACTGCTGACACCCTGGGTGACGTTCTTCAGATGGTTTCCTCTGCGTGTGCAGCACACGTGTATGTTATCTGACATGTATACGTTTGTTCTTAGAAAAGGAGATCATGTAAAAATGCTTGAGACTTGCTCTTTTTTTTTCTAGGTACATTTTATAAAGTCTTAGTCGCTCAGTCATGTCCGACTCTTTGCGACCCCATGGAGTTTAGCCCCCGAGGCTCCTCTGTCTATGGAATTCTCCAGGCCAGAATACTGGAGTGGACCATTCCACTCCATGGAAGGGAAGCCATTCCCTTCTCCAGGGGATCTTCCCCACCCAGGGATCAAACCCCGGTCTCCTGCATTAAAGGCGGATTCTATACCATCTGAGCCACCAGGGAAGCCCAGTGTACATCTTAGGTATTTTAAGTACATGTACATATGGGTCTATTTACAAATACACTTTTAGATTTTATCTGTGCATATTTATAAATTTTTTAAATGTATTTGTAAATATATTTCTATTTAAACATGTGTTTTTCTCAACCAGCTTCACTTTTTAACGATTACACAGTATTGATGCGTGTACCACTGAATTGTTAACGAATTCCATGTTGATTAGCTAGGTTAGCCAGGAGCCACTTCATTGTTTATCTTTGGTTCAACTAATATTTATCAAGTGTCCATTCACTTTGTCGTTGCTGTTCAGTTGCTAAGTCGTGTCCGGCTCTTTGCGACCCCATGGACTGCAGCACGCCAGACCTCCTTGTCCTTCACTATCTCCTAGAGTTTGCCCAAGTTCATGTCAATTGAATCAGTGATGCTATCCAACCATCTATCCTCTGCTGCCCTCTTCTCATTTTGCCTTCAATCTTTCCCAGAATCAGGGTCCACTCATTATTTCATCAAATCTAAAATGGCCCTGATTCTTAGAGGCACCGCCACTCTGTCACCAAGAAAGAAAAATACTGACCATTGTTCTGTGTGGCGGTGTCAGTAATTTGTAAGACACATTCTGATTTCAAAGTCACTTAAAACGGGAGACAGGGGTCCCCCCAAACCAATGGAATGTGACGCGTTGGAACCGCCCCATTGGCTGTGGGGGCTGGAGCTGTGGGTGAGAACTTCTCCCCCAGCAGGGCTTCCCCTGGGGGCTTCTTCCAGGGCCCTGTGCTCACCTCTCCTGTGACCCCACCCACACCACTGTGCCAACAGTGTGCCTCCCTCGAGTGACCCCAGACCGTGGGAGGGAGGCCGGCCCTTGGGCATCTCTTGTGTTTCACGAGCACCTGGGAGAGGACGCAGCCGGGCCTCCGCACCTCACCCTGGGCAGGACCGCTTCCGGACCTGGTGCTAAGTCGTGTCCGGCTCTTTGCAACCCCATGGACTGCAGCACGCCAGACCTCCTTGTCCTTCACTATCTCCTAGAGTTTGCCCAAGTTCATGTCCATTGAATCAGTGATGCTATCCAACCATCTATCCTCTGCCCTCTTCTCATTTTGCCTTCAGTCTTTCCCAGAATCAGGGTCCACTCATTATTTCATCAAATCTAAAATGGCCCTGATTCTTAGAGGCACTGCCACTTTGTCACCAAGAAAGAAAAATACTGACCATTGTTCTGTGTGGCGGTGTCCGTAATTTGTAAGACACATTCTGATTTCAAAGTCACTTAAAATGGGAGACAGGTGTCCCCCCAAACCAATGGAATGTGATGCGTTGGAACCGCCCCATTGGCTGTGGGGGTACACGGGGAGCGGGGCTGGAGCTGTGGGTGAGACCTTCTCCCCCAGCAGGGCTTCCCCTGGGGGCTTCTTCCAGGGCCCTGTGCTCACCTCTCCTGTGACCCCGCCCACACCACTGTGCCAACAGTGTGCCTCCCTCGAGTGACCCCAGACCGTGGGAGGGAGGCCGGCCCTTGGGCATCTCTTGTGTTTCACGAGCACCTGGGAGAGGACGCAGCCGGGCCTCCGCACCTCACCCTGGGCAGGACCGCTTCCGGACCTGGCTTTGTATTCAGTTTCTTCATTTACTTTCCCTCCTATCGCCTCTGAGCTCTGTGCGCAGTGAGCCCTTGTGGCAGAACAGGGAACAGACTCAGCACTTCCCGGGGCAGTGGCACAGAGCTGCGAGGGGTCTCGGTCCGAGCCCAGGACTCTCGGCAGTGCATTCTCTGCAGCAGCACCTTGCCAGGGAGGCCCGGGGCTGGCAGGCTCGCAGCTCCAGCGTGTTGGTCAGTTTGTGGTTGCTCTGTTTGTGGCAAAGAAAAAAATGAGCTGACGTGATGGGTCGATCGAGATTTCTGTCCTAGCCTTCGTACTGGTGCGGACGCCCAAGGACGGCGCTCGGGAAAGAGGAGGAGGACGACGACCCTGAGAAGGTGCTCAGGACTGAGTACTTTGAAGCTGAGCCCGAGGACCTGGTGGCCGGGATCAAGATCAAGCACGTGACCAAGGTGCCACGCCTGTTGGGACTAGACCGCGGGGTCACAGGGCAGGGACCGTCCTCCAGGCCTCGCTTCTCCTGGGTTCCTGGGGCTGCCCTCTGACCTGCTCCCCCATGCCCCGGCCACCCCAGCTCTGCCCCAGGGCCCATTGTGGAGGCTCAGGATAGAGTCAGGACCCACTGTTGCCCCCCTTAACCTCTGACCAACTTGGCAGTGGACACTCTCTGGGCTCGCTGTATGCAACGCCTGGGTCTTCCAGACCTTCTAGTCCTGCCGAGACGCCGGGTGCTGGGGGCCTGGGGTGGGGCGGGTGGGGAAGGGGGTGCCTTCCATCAGTACTGCAGTTCTCGGTGCACTGGGCATCATTTCCTCCCAACACCCTCGGGTGGACGGAGATTCCCCGGGGAGTAGGACGGAGGTCCTCTGCAGTGAGGGCCCGGGGGGCTCCTGATGCCTAGGGCCGGCCCTGCCTCTCCCACAGGTGTTTAGAGTGGGGAACAAGGGCAAGGCGGCCGTCAGAGACCTGAATCTGAACCTGTACGAAGGCCAGATCACCGTCCTGCTGGGCCACAACGGCGCGGGGAAGACCACCACGCTCTCCATGCTCACGGGTGAGGGCCCGGCCTCCACGCCCCCTCCCCAGCCCTGACCACCCGGCCACGTGCCCTCAGGTGGCTGTCCTGTCCGTGATGAGAGCTTCGGAGCCGCGGGGGCCCTGGGACAGGGCAGGAGCCCCACAGGCCACAGGGAAGGGCTCCACCTGCACTGATGGGGGTCCCAAACCCACTCTCCTAAAAGCTGTCCTGTACACACTGGCCCAGCCCTGGCAATCGCCCTGTCCTCCCTGAGTGCAGGCTCGAGTTGGGACCTGGGCTCCGAGGGTGTGGGGGACATACCACCTCATCCCTAACAAACCGCAGTGGCCAGGATCAAGATCAAGCACGTGTCCAAGGTGCCAGTCCTGTGGGGACTGGGCTGCAGGGTCAGGAGGTCATGGGGCAGTGACCATCCTCTGGGCCTCGCTTATCCTGGGTTCCTGGGACTGCCCTCCAACTGGCTCCCCCAGGTACCAGCCACCCCATCTCTGCCCTAGGGCTCAGGGTCCCGTCAGCACGCAGTGCTGATGACCCTTCTCTGTCTCTGGAGGCCCACTTGGTGGGGCGGGGCGCTCATCATGCGAACCAGGGAGGCTCAGCCCTCCTCCTGCTCCTGGAGGATGTTTGCACTGACCTCAGGCCCCGGGGTCTTTTGCGCGGCCCTAGGTCTCTTCCCCCCGACCAGCGGACGAGCGTACATCAGCGGGTACGAAGTCTCGCAGGACATGGATCAGATCCGGAAGAGCCTGGGCCTGTGCCCACAGCACGACGTCTTGTTTGACAACTTGACTGTCGCCGAGCACCTGTACTTCTATGCTCAGGTGAGCTGGCAGGGGGATAGGGTTCACGGGCTGCCGCTGTGGTCCCATCACCCACGAGGCAGCCTCGGGAGCCCTTAGCCTCCCAGCAAACTGAACCTACTCCAGGGAGCTGTCAGCAGAATGTGGGGTGCGGGGTGGTCAGGGTGTGAGGTCCAGCACGGGGAGAGACAGGAACAGCACCAAGGCCAGTGCTGCCTGGACAGGCCGGATCTCCATCCCCGCCATTTCAGCTGAAAGGCTTGCCGCGTCAGAAGTGCCCTGAGGAGGTCAAACGCATGCTGCACGTGCTCGGGCTGGAGGAGAAGCGGGACTCCCGGAGCAAGTTTCTGAGTGGTGGGATGCGGCGCAAGCTCTCCATCGGCATTGCCCTCATCGCGGGCTCCAAGGTAGGCCCAGGAGGCCTGCGGCGCAGCCTGAAGCCCGGGCAGGGCTCTGCCATCCTTACGATGCCGCCCCTCCACCCTCCAGGTGCTGATGCTGGACGAGCCCACTTCGGGCGTGGATGCCATCTCCAGGAGGGCCATCTGGGACCTTCTGCAGCAGCATAAGAGTGACCGCACCATCCTGCTGACCACCCACTTCATGGACGAGGCCGACCTACTGGGGGACCGCATCGCTATCATGGCCAAGGGGGAGCTGCAGTGCTGCGGGTCGTCGCTGTTCCTCAAGGAGAAATACGGTGAACAGGGTGGGCGGGCAGCCGAAAGTCCATTCCGCACGGAGTCCGCGTGGCTGGTCCAGGTGTGGGAGAAAGTGTCTACTGGTCACATTCCCCGAGGGCTTTCTGAGGTCAGGCGGGAAGCGACTTTCTCTAGACGGCCTGTCTGCTCCCTGTGGGTGGAGATCCAAGGCCCAGGTGGAGGGGCTGTGAGAATGAGGAGGAGGAAAGCAGAAAATCTTAATTTGGAGCATTGTTTGGCCTTGACCGGTGGACTAGCAGTCAACGCCGGGCCTGCCAAGAGCAGGGGTGCCATTGGAGGGGCCAAGTCTTCTCGCCAGCATCACAGCTCCCAAACAGGCGGGGGGCCCAGGGCACCGCCCAGGGTGGGTGGGCAGTGGGTGCAGTCAGCCCCCTCTTTGCTGTGTGAGTGCAGCTTCCCTTCTGGAGGACCGCTCGCCGTCCGATGTGGTCCTGGCAGGCCAGGTCTGCTCCACGTCCTACCGGCAGAAGAAGCAAAAGGCAGAAGAGCAGCGTCCCTCCCCCCAGATACCCCGGGAGTTGCACCCTGAACTTCCCGCGACCAACATACAGCCCCGCAAGTGGCAGGCTACCCTGAGTGGTCACCATCAGGCTGGGGGGGTGCTGGAGAGGACGGCCTTTGTCCTGAGGCCCTGCTACCAAGAAAGCAGGGAGAAGAGGTCTTGGGGGCGGTTTGGACCCAGCCTCTGCCGCTCACAGTCCAAAGTCCAGCTCTGTCTCACCTCCCTGTGCTCAGCACCCCGGGTCCTCCAGCATCTCTCCCCAGTGAGGGTGCGGGGAGGGGAGCTGAGCCCCTCGTGACTGCCCTGAGGCACCCTGAGGGGCATCGATTCCACTTCACTTGCCCCCGCTCTGCAGCCCCTTCCCCAGGAGCCTGCCCCCTCCCCAGCGAGCCCGGGGCCCTGGGTGAACCCCACTGGGCTCACTGGGTGAACACTGAACACTCTGGGGTGTTCAGGCGCAGGCTACCACATGACGCTAGTGAAGGAGCCTCACTGCAACCCCGAGGGCATCTCCCGGCTGGTCCAGCACCACGTCCCCAACGCCACCCTGGAGAGCAGCGCCGGGGCAGAGCTGTCGTTCATTCTTCCCAAGGAGAACACGCACAGGTACATACGTGTGCCAGAGCATGCATGGGCATGTGTGTGTCCTGTAGTACACACAAATACATACATATGCCCCAGAACACACACAGGTACTTGCGTGCCCCAGAGCACGCATGGGTACATACACGTCCCAGAGCATGCACAGCCACGTGTGTGTCCCAGAGCACACACATGTACATATGTGTCCCAGAGCATGCACAGGCACACATCCTAGAGAGCATGCACAGGTACATATGTGTCCCAGAGCACGCACGGGTATGTCTGTGTCCCAGAGCACGCATAGGCACACATCCTAGAGAGAGCATACACAAGTACATATGTGTCTCAGAGCACGCACAGGTACATACGTGTCCCAGAGCATGCACGGGCATGTCTGTGTCCCAGAGCATGCACAGGCACACATCCTAGAAAGAGCATGCACAAGTACATATGTGTCCCAGAGCATGCACAGGTACGTACGTGTCCCAGAGCACGCATGGGCACACATCCTAGAGAGAGCACACAGAGGTACACACATAGGCGCAGATCTGAGAAGGGGGCTCAGTGGGACTTAAGGGGCCTGTGGGTAAGACGTGCGCCCTGCACCCGTGGGCTTGGCCAGGGTCCCTCTCGGCCCCTGGGCCGGTGATGGTTGGCACCTGGTGAGTCTACTTGCTGGGCCCGGGGTGCCAGGCCTCCCTGTGCATCAGGGCCACGCCCGAGAAGGAGAAGGGCGGCCGTCACAGGGCACGGGGTGCAGTGGTGCTCTCCTCACACCATAGCCACTCAGGCTTGGTGTGCAGCTGTAAACTCACATACCTTCTCGATCTCATGGTCTGAGCCGTGGACACATGCCTCATAAGCAGAGCAGACTCCCCGTGTGGGCAGGTAAAAACGAAACTTCTCATTCACATGCAGAAACTTTGGAAGAGAAAACTCACAGGTGCATTAATCTTGCTCCAAGCCTGATTGAGAAATGTGGTTTTAATCACGGCAGTGTTCCCTGACTTAGATGTACTATAATTTAACACCTACTCTATCATCACATATTCATGTTTTACAGACACGCAAATATGTTAATGCACATCTTTCTAGCAAACTCTGTTGAGGTCTCCAGTGACCCCTTAGGGTAGATCCCCAGCAGTGGGGTACATATTACCAGACTCCCCCCTGGACAAGTGTTGAGTTTGACTTTTCCAGCAGCAGGATGGGGGAGTGTCCATTTTACAGATGCCAGCTTTGAGTTGGACTTCTCTTTATTACTTGTGTATCTCATGGGTGGAAATGGCTCACACTGTGTAGTTATCATCTTGTGTTTCTTCCACTCCTGGTGGCAGGAGATTGACCACTTCCAGTGCTTACTGGGTGCTAAGCATCACTTCTTCTGACTGTTGGATGTCCCAGTCCTGTGTATTCAGTATTAACATCAATCATTTCTGTTGGACCTTTTTTCCTATTCATTGCTGCCTTCTAATTTTGTGAGAGATATTTTACATCAAATGGGTTCTATCTTTTCCTTTGTGATTTCTCCTTAGAAAGGACTTCTGTGTCCTACAAGTCCGTAAATATTCCCCAGTTTCTTTTGGCTTGGTCAGTGACTTCACGTAGGTGTGTGCCATCAAAGAGTGCCTTACAGGCCCAAGTACCCAAAAGAGGTTGTGTGGGGACGTCCCTGGTGATTTGATGGTTGGGATTCGGCGCTTTCTCTGCTGGTTCAGCCCCTGGTCAGGGAACTGAGATCCCACAAGCCACACAGCATGGCAAAAAAGGAAAAAAGAAGATTATTTTTTAAAAAATGCTGTATTGGGGGAGGAAGGGGGACAGGGGAAGACAAAGCTGAACTTTTTTACTGAGACACCATCTCCAGGAGCTCAACTTCCTTTGCCCCTCTCCCACACTGCACGGAGGTGATTATTTAGGAACAGATCGTCTAGAAAGTCACTGAGAAGTGACTTATCACCGTGGTCTCTTTTTTTTTCAGGTTTGAAAGTCTTTTTGCTAAACTGGAGAAGAAGCAGAAGGAGTTGGGCATCGCCAGCTTCGGGGCCTCCGTCACCACCATGGAGGAGGTCTTCCTCCGGTCAGTACCCATGCATCTGTGTCCGGCGGGGGTTTAGCCCCGCGGGTGGCTTTTCTAAAGGGCATGATAAAGCACTGCCCTTGACTGTCATCTGGAACACCCATTCGAGGTGGACCCACAGCCCGGGTTGGCAGGAGGGCAGTGGGCCGGCCCTCAGGGCCTGAGCTCCCATCCGCAGGGCCCTGTAAATAACACTGGCACAGACCTGGCCGGGTTCCCAACACACGGGTGACTCAGACCGCAGAACAATCGAACTCTGATGCCCGGACACTCCACTCCCACCATGTGTGTCGGCCCCTCCCCTGGGCCTCTCCCGGGAGCTCTTCTAGAGTTCAGGTGATCATCCCCAGGCCTGTCTCCTTCTATAATGAAGATGTAAAATTTAGCCTTCACCCCTCAGAACTGTGGTGTGGGCTCCAGACAATTAACACATTGGTCAAGCATTTCTTGAATCCTTTTTTCAGCAGATACAGTGCTAAGAACAAGAAATACAAAAATAAATGTTATGGAGATTTTTTTCCTTGGGGCTTACACAGCCTAAAGGAGGCAACAGCGTCAGTGAATATAAATACACAGCTGCACAGGTTGGGTGGCTCCCGGCCTCAGTGCAGCCCCCCATGCAGCCCAAGGCCGTGACTCCAGGCTCTGCCACCCGAGGACCTGCCAGCTTTGCCCCCACCCACCCCTCCACATGTACTTCTGAGTAGCTCAGTTGATAAAGAATCTGCCTACAATGCAAGAGGCCCGGGTTCGACCCCTGTGTCGGGAAGTATGCTGGAGAAGGAAATGGCAACCCACTCCAGTACTCTTGCCTGGAGAATTCCATGGACAGAGGAGCCTGGCGGGCTACAGTCCATGGGATCACCCCCCACATGCACTGTCATGCCCGCCCCGAGGTGGCCCCTCCCAAGATACACTCTTCTGCCTCCTGGTCTCTGCGTGCAGTGAGCCCCAACCCGCAGGTCTCCACACTGACAAGCCCTCCCTGCACTGCCATTGTGCCCTGCGCCCCGTCCTGTCCCTCTGGACAATCTGGGGCATAAATGCTGACTGTGGTCGGTCTCCCCGGGAGACCAGGGCCCTCAGGATCAGGGCCTGCCTGGTTGTCCCTCTCTCCTGGGCTTTGCCTGGTCTCCACAGTGGGCGTCCTGGAGATAGGCAGGGATGAGTGAGTGCATGGGCACACAAAGGCCCAGCTGGCAGAACAGATGGCTGTCTGCCTTCGTGCCCCTGGCTTTCCACCTCTGCTGCCCCCTCCCTCCCCAAGGAGCCTGTTCTGACCCGGCCTCCATGTCTTGGCCAGGGTTGGCAAGCTGGTGGACACCAGCATGGACATCCAGGCCATCCAGCTCCCTGCCCTGCAGTACCAGCACGAGAGGCGGGCCAGCGACTGGGCTGTGGACGGCCACCTGTGTGGGACCATGGACCCGACCGACGGTGTTGGCGCGCTGATTGAGGAGGAGTGCACCGCCGTCAAGCTCAACACCGGGGTGAGAGCGTGAGAGCGTCAGAGGCCGCGAGGGCAGATGCGGGCATCCTCCCGACCGACGGTGTTGGCGCACTGATTGAGGAGGAGTGCACCGCCGTCAAGCTCAACACCGGGGTGAGAGCGTGAGAGCGTCAGAGGCCGCGAGGGCAGATGCGGGCATCCGGAGGGTCCGGGCCCTGGGAGGAGGACAGGTCGCAGCTCGTGCTCCTAAGGGCTGGCCCAGAGAAGGAAATCCCGGAGCGTTTTAACTGAGCACCGCCACTTCTTGTTGTTCTAACTTGGCCACTCATGAATAAGGGCAAACGCCACTCATAAGGCTGACAGTGCCCCGTGTACGTGTGCCCTGTACCCAGCGAGACAGAGGCAGCCATGGGCCCATTTTACAGACAGGAAGCTGAGGCCTGGGCCGAGGTCGCCTGGGCAGCTCACAGCAGAGCTGGGCTCCAGTCCCTGCCGGCCTGACCTGCACAGTGAAGGACTGGGCATGAGGAATACAGGCAGCAGGAGGTTTGTCCATCTGCTCTGCTGTGAGCGCGGCCGGAGTCCTCCGAGGCCTTGGCTCCTCTCTGGGGTAGCACAGGGTCCCCTGACATCCTTGGATGATGGAACAGCGCCTGCCCTGCCACCACAGCTGCTGTGAGGCCCCAAGGCCCAGGGGACACCTACAGGGAGGTGTTCTCATGGGTCCTCCATGTCAGGGCCCAGGCCCTGGGGGAAGCCCTGGGACCCAGCGTGCCACTGTCAGCCGGAGGCCCCTAGGCCCACGTGGGGACCACGCATGCTGCCGGGGGCAGGGGCAAGGCTGGCCCAGGTTGGCGGCCGTGTCACTCCCGTCTCCCTCTGTCGCAGCTGGCCCTCCACTGCCAGCAGTTCTGGGCCATGTTCCTGAAGAAGGCCACCTACAGCTGGCGCGAGTGGAAGGTGGTGGCGGCCCAGGTCCTGGTGCCTGTGACGTGCCTCACCCTGGCCCTCCTGGCCATCAACTATTCCTCCGAGATCTTCGACGACCCCCTGCTGAAGCTGACCCTGGGCGAGTACGGCCGCACCGTCGTGCCCTTCTCGGTCCCCGGGACCTCTCGGCTGGATCAGCAGCTGTCGGAGCATCTGAAAGACATGCTGCAGGCCGAGGGCCAGGAGCCTCGAGAGGTGCTGGGTAAGGGGCGTCTCGGGGGGTGTCCCGGGGGGCTTGGGGGCGTAGCTTGTGCTGGCAGAACCCCCTTCTCACCCATGTTAGGGGTGCAGAAGGAAGAGCCTGTGGCTATGGGGGTGCCCCCCCAGGCCTACAGCCTTGGGTCCTATGGCTCCCACCCCATGGCCCCCCCCTGGACAGCGTGTGGGTGGAAGGTGATGTGTCCTTTCTGTGGTTCCTTCGGTCCTTCAGAACAGGCACTCAGAGCGGGGCCTTGGCGGGCCGCTGGCCCATAGCCGGTCGTCCACACCACTGACCCTGCCGTTGCCCCTGCTGCCGCCACACAGGTGACCTGGAGGAGTTCCTGATTTTCAGGGCCTCAGTGGAGGGGGGCGGCTTCAACGAGCGGTGCCTGGTGGCAGCATCCTTCAGAGACACGGGCGAGCACACGGTCGTCACTGCCCTGTTCAACAACCAGGCGTACCACTCCCCTGCCACCGCGCTGGCTGTCGTGGACAACCTCCTGTTCAAGCTGCTGTGTGGCCCCCGGGCCTCCATCACGGTGTCCAACTTCCCCCAGCCCCGGAGCGCCCTGCAGGCTGCCAAGGACCAGTTCAATGAGTATGTGCCCTGTCCCCCCTGCCCAGGACCCCGTCCCCACGTGCTGAGGACCTGCTCCTAGCACACTACCACTCCGCACCCGAGGCACTGCTGGGCTCCCCCACACACACCCTCAGAGCTGCAGCAGCAGACATGGCATTGTTTCTGCTCCCAGGAAACTCCTGGTTCTCGGGACCCCAACCCCACACCCTCCCCAGCCTTCCACACATAACCTTTCCTGGGATAGCAGAGACTTTGGGGAGACCCTAGCCCACATACACCTGGGGCCTACCAGAGACTCCTGTGGATTTGGAGGGTGCCGCACTCTCTTCCCCAATCTGCACCTGGCTCTTGCCGATCTATGTCCTGGGGGTGCGGCGTTCAGTGCCCAGCGTGTGTGTGTGTCACTGCCCCTCAGTGGCCTCAAGTCTGGGACCACCTCAGGCATCTCTGTCCTTGGCCTTGTCACCTTTGTGTGTGTAGGACTCTCCTCTTCCCGGTTGCAGAGCCCCTAGACCTCTGGGGACCGTCCAGATGAAGCCGGAAAAGTCTGTCCATTGCAGAACAGTCACCCACCTCAGGGCAGCTCATTGATGGGGGGTTTTTCATCACCACCTCCCATTTTCGACTGCCTCCTGGCCCTTCGGTGCCCTCCTCCCCTCTGCCCCCTCTCGACCCCACTGTGAAAGCAGAGAGTGGGCAGCAGTCCTCTGTTCTCGCTGCGCCAGGGAGTCAGGCTTAGCATGGTGAAAGTGGACAAGAGCAGTTTTTCTTTTGCTGGAACAGCTCTAGGAGATATGACCCACCTGCCATATGGTTCGCCTGTTCACGGTGCACAACCAAATGGTTTCTAGTACATTGAGTCGTGGAGCTATCACCACAATATAGTTTTAGCAAATGTTTTCATTATCTTCAAGGAACTGTGGCACCGTGACTGTCACTCCCCGTTCGTCTCCCCTCCACCTCTAAGCAGCCAGGAGTCAGCTCTCTGTCCCCGTGGTTTGCCTGTCCTGGACATTTCCCGGGGGTGGAATCAGACACTGTGTGGCCTTGAGTGACTGACTTTCACTCTCAAGACTCATCCTCGTGTGCCAGCACTTCATTAGTTCAGAGCATTTCCCGCCCCAGCACCGCTTTTTGAAACGTTCAGGGGGTGGGGAGGGGGCAGTTTAAGCTACAGAATGATGCTGTTGGCGCTGGTTTCTGAAAGGTGTTGCTGGCACCTGAAGGTCCTGCCCACTCGAGAACGAGAGTGGGGAGACTGCCACCACCCCGATGCCACTCCCAATGGTGGGTCTGACCCGGGCTGCTGCAGAGAGCCGGGTGGAAGTGCTGGATCCAACCTGAGTGTCTGTGGGGAGTGGGTGCACAGGGAACAGATGGAAAGCCACTGGGAGGGTGGCAGTGCCATCACTGCGGACTAGATGCCCAGAAGGGGGGCTGTTCCCAGGCGGGGTAGGGGGTGCAGTTTTCCTGGTGCAGAGCCCCCTGAGGCTCTGGATTGTTCCTTAACCCCCTTTAGCGGCTGAGTCACTTCATCAGCCGCTTTGGACAGTAGTAAGCCAGCACTGGATGGCCAAGCTGCCCAGGTGTGTTCTGCTCTGTCCCTGACCTGTCCTGTGCCCTCCCCGCCTCCCACCACAGGGGCCGGAAAGGCTTCGACATCGCCCTCAACTTGCTGTTCGCCATGGCATTCCTGGCCAGCACCTTCTCCATCCTAGCAGTCAGCGAGAGGGCCGTCCAAGCCAAGCATGTGCAGTTCGTGAGCGGCGTCCACGTGGCTACTTTCTGGCTCTCGGCTCTGCTGTGGGACCTCCTGTCCTTCCTCGTCCCCAGTCTGCTGCTGCTGGTGAGCTGAGTAGAGCTTGGGCCTTTCCCCGCACGTCTAGGGCTGGGGGGAGCCTGCAGAATCACCCTGGGCTACCCGCGAGTGCTGGCGGCTCCGCCCCTGCTGCTGGAGGAGGGTGGGAAGGCCCTGGCAGCCCCGCCCGTCTTCACGCCCTGCCCCTCCCATCTTCACGCACACCCCCATCCCTTCTTCGAGCCCCGCCTCCTCCCTTCTTCGCGCCCCGCCCCCTCCTGGCTTCAGGCCCCGCCCCCCGACCTCTGTCCCCTTGGGAGGTGGGGCCTGGGGGCTGCTGGACCGGAACTCACGCACCCTGTCCTTGCCACTGCAGGTAGTGTTCAAGGCCTTCGACGTGCATGCCTTCACGAGGGACGGACACGTGGCCGACGTCCTGCTGCTGCTCACGCTCTACGGCTGGGCCATCATCCCCCTCATGTACCTGATGAGCTTCTTTTTCTCCGGGGCGGCCACTGCCTACACGCGGCTGACCATATTCAACATCCTGTCGGGCATCGCCACCTTCCTCGTTGTCACCATCATGCGCATCCCAGGTGGGTGCCAGGAGCCCACCCCCTCATCCACTCCGTGACCCGCAGAGCTGCTCAACCAGCCTGTCCGCTGTGCTGCAGCCCCTGTACCCAGGCGGCCCTGCCCCACAGCACCCGTGAGCCCCCACCAGCAGGAGAGCAGGCCCGGTGCCAGATCCCTGGGGCCGGCGCGGCTGGGCTGCGTGGGGAACTCCAGACACCAGCTCTTCCTGCACCGCACGTGCAGGTGCAGTGTGTCCTCCCGCGCTGACTGGCCTGTGCTTCCTCCCCACAGCAGTCAAGTTAGAAGAACTTTCCAGAACCCTGGACCGCGTGTTCCTGGTGCTTCCCAACCACTGCTTAGGGATGGCGGTGAGCAACTTCTACCAGAACTACGAGACCAGGCGGTACTGCACCTCCTCCGACGTGGCAGCCCACTACTGCCGGAAATACAGTGAGTGTCCAGGCCTTACTCCAGACGGCTGAACCCCTCGCAGGCACAAGGGCCACCTCGAACATGAAGCCGCCAAAACGCGGGCAGTTCTTGGGTCTCCGTGTGGCTGTGACACGCCCTCAGAGGCCCAGTGGGCCCCACCTGTGCAGCCTTCACAGGGGTCGGGCGCAGGCACTTCGGGGTCACAGAGAGAAGGCTGGAGGGGCTTGGACCCCCGGAGGGGAGGGGCGCTCCGGGCCACGGGTGCAGCACCCTGTCCCGTGTTGCACAGACATCCAGTACCAGGAGAACTTCTACGCGTGGAGCACCCCGGGGGTCGGCAGGTTCGTGACCTCCATGGCCGCTTCAGGGTTTGCCTACCTCACCCTGCTCTTCCTCGTGGAGGCCGACCTGCTATGGAGGCTGAAGACCTGCCTGTGTGCCTTCCAGAGGAGGCGGGCGCTGGTGAGTGGCTCCGGGTAACTGTTGGGCCTCCAGCTGCCCTGCGGGGGGGCACCCTGACACCGAGGTCGTCCTTCCTTGGGGCCACTGCGCAAGGAGTCCACTGGCAGCGCTCAGAGCGTCCCCTGGGGCTCTCTGAAGCCATGGGTCGAGAGAGCCTGGGGCCTCGGAGATCTCAGTCTCCCAGGAGACCTGGGGGCCGCGGCGCCCTCATGTTTGTCACATACATTTCCTCCCCAAACAAAACCTGCCGAGACAGCACTTCCAGGACAGGTGTTCCCAGGGCTGATGGGGCGAAGACACTAGGCTTTTCTAAGGGAAGGGGTGTGTGTCTCCTCGGGGCCACTGTCAGCCCTGATGGCCGCCCAGCTCTCCTTGTGGGAGATCTGAGTCGGCCTGCGTGGGGCTGAGCTGGGGTGAGCTACCTGGGAGACCTTAGTTAGTTTAATTTAGCTCTTCCTGCCACGGGAACGGACCCCTCGGGGGAGCTTACCCCGGCATCTCTTTTCCAAACAACTAGACAGAAGTGTACACCCGGACGGCGGCGCTCCCTGAAGACCAGGATGTGATGGACGAAAGGAACCGCGTCCTGTCCCCCAGCCTGGACTCCCTGCTGGACACGCCTCTGATCATCAAGGAGCTCTCCAAGGTGAGGTGGCCCGCGCCACGGCCCCGCCCCCGCTCCGGCTGGTCCCACCCCCGCTTCGGCTGGTCCCGCCCCCGATTGGCCCCACCCAGACTTCCCTGCTTGGGCCAGCTGCCCCCGCCCCCGCACGGCTGTGTTCTCCGCGCACGCACAGGTGTACGAGCACCGGGCTCCGCTCCTCGCTGTGGACAAGGTGTCCCTCGCGGTCCAGAAAGGGGAGTGCTTCGGTTTGCTGGGCTTCAACGGAGCCGGGAAAACCACGACTTTCAAAATGCTGACCGGGGAGGAGACCATCACCTGTGGGGATGCCTTTGTTGGGGGCTACAGCATCAGCTCTGACATCGGGAAGGTGGGTGTGGCCAGGGAGGCAGGGATGAGGCTGGCCTCTGTCTCGCGGCTCAGGGACAGCAAGACGAGGCAGTGGCCGCGGCCAGAGCTAAGCAAGTGGTGGAGAGAGGGGTGAGGCTATATCTGAGCGCCAGGGGCCGGAAGGGACCAGGAGCGGCAGGCGGGCAGGCTGAGACTGGGTCACCCCCAACCCAGGACCAGTGACATCTCTGGACCTGGGCCCAGAGCGGCACCCAGAGAACTCCGCCGTCTCAAAAGGACTCCAATCTGTGTGCACAGTGTAGGCAATGGTGCCCTGGGCCATTCAAACCAAGAACCAAGAGCTGGATAAAAGGTTAACCTTAAACCATGTGGATGAGATCATGGAAGAGGGAGAGGCTTAGTGATGACCCCCAGCTGGAGTCTGCAGGCAGGAGCCACCCCGGCACAGGGGATAGTCTTGTCCCCTGAGACTTGAGCGTGGGTTAAGGACCTTATTGTGTGTAGGGGGCAGAAATGAAGAGCCGCCCCTCTGGGTTAGCATGAAGCAGGCCATCCAGTTCCCCGTGTGCTGAGCATGGCCGTTGAAGGAGCAGAGAAGGGCCTGTGCCCAGGAGTGACAGCATCTACTGAACTGGCATCGGGCTCCCAGTCAGCCATGCCCGACTGCAGCACACAGAGCACCCTGTCTGCAGGAAGGCTTTCATCCTGGATCTCTGAGAACCCCTCACGTAGTATTTCAAGGCCTGTGAACAGCACACAAGCAAAGCAGACAGAAGAGACCCCATGCAGTGGCTGGAGCCCACAGACACCAGGGCTCTGTAGGGGATCAAGCCCACCACTTTGGATTTGTAGTTACCAGACCCAGATTATAAAACAACTGTGTTTCCTGTGTTCAGAGAAATAAACAAGATTGAAAAGGCATGCAAGGAAGAGGGATCTGTAAATGGTCCAGGAAATGCAGGCCAGGGTGAGGAGCCTGAGACACATTAACTTTGCGTTCCAGTTGAAAGGGAGAGAATAGAGGAGAGATAGTAAGTGCCATGGTCACAGCGAAGAAGGTCTCCAAACCAGTTAAGACCAGATCCTAGAAGCCTGAGAACCCAGAGGAGGTTAAAGGAAAAGAAACCCCATCTCTGGAATCCACAGAACCCAGGCATGCTTGTGCCCACCAGCTGCCAAACGTGGCTGGAGCTGGAGGCCAGCCATGTGGCATTCTGGCTTTGCCAAACATGGCCACTCACCGGAGACCAGCTGCCGTACCATCTGCCTAGGCTGCACCCCGCCCCAAAGGTGTCGCCAACAGACATGTCTTAATAGAGGGAGAAAGGGAAGGTCCCAGCACACGTTAGGCGTTTGTTAAACATCCGATGAACTAAAGAGTGGATATCTCTCAGCTATAAAGCACTGCGTAGACACAGTCACTTTGTACAGTCAAGGCATTCCTGTAGCTGTCCCCTTGCTGCCCAGGGTAGACTGGGCTTTGGCCAGTCTCTGACCCCTGGTTTGGGGCAGTCTGGCTTTGGCAGAGGGTAGCCGCCAGGGCCGGAGCACCAGCTGAGGGACCACCTTGAGGAGATCTCCTGAGAGAAGGCTTCTGACCTGCCAACTCCCTGCTGTGCTCCAACCCCAGGTGCGGCAGCGAATCGGCTACTGTCCCCAGTTCGATGCCCTGCTGGACCACATGACAGGCCGGGAGACACTGGTCATGTTTGCCCGGCTCCGGGGCATCCCCGAGCGCCACATTGGCGTGTGTGTAGAGAACACGCTGCGGGGTCTGCTTCTGGAGCCGCACGCCAGCAAGCTGGTCAGGACGTACAGGTGTGCCTCAATCCCAACTCAGTGACCACAGACCTTCCCAGGGTGGGGTTGGGGTATCCCTTACCATAGATCAGGGGGCACACGGGTCAGGGGCTCCCACCCATTGTTCCAGGATCCACAGGGATATGGCAGCAAGGCCCAGGCAGAGCTAGATGAGAAGGGCTACCCTGCAGGTACTCCCCTCTGGAGGCCCAGCCAGGCCCCCAGTCAGGCCCCCTTGGTACTGCTCTCTGTGGGCTGCGGGCCGATCCCCTGGGCACAGCTCTTGAGGGCCTCCTGCTCTGTGAGGTGGGCCTTCCAGGCATGTTCACCTTGCTCCCCTTTCCGGGGGCTCTACCATCTCTGGGCTCTGTCCTCTGCTGGGACCTGGGAGTCCACACTAACTGTCAGCCTCGCTTTCACCCACGCCTCCTCGGCCCCAGCGGTGGCAACAAGCGCAAGCTCAGCACTGGCATTGCCCTGCTGGGGGAGCCCGCGGTCATCTTCCTGGACGAGCCGTCCACTGGCATGGACCCTGTGGCCCGGCGTCTGCTCTGGGACACCGTGGCACGGGCCCGAGAGTCCGGCAAGGCCATTGTCATCACCTCCCACAGGTCCAGCCAGGATGGGGGCTGTGGGCCGGGTGGGCCGGGAGGGGCTGGGTGGACAGACCTGTCAGCCTCTGGTGAAGAGTCTGTGAGGCGAGTGGGCCACACCCTGCACGTGGGAATCAGGAACAGCTTGATCTGGGCATCAGCACTCTCCCAGGTGCACGGTTTTGACGTGGAGGGTGGGCATCAGCATTCCCCGATGCTATATCAGGCTCCGCCCCCTCTCCCCAGCATGGAGGAGTGTGAAGCCTTGTGTACCCGGCTGGCCATCATGGTGCAGGGTCAGTTCAAGTGCCTGGGCAGCCCACAGCACCTCAAGAGCAAGTTTGGCAGCGGCTACTCCCTACGGGCCAAGATCCGGAGTGACGGGCAGCAGGAGACACTGGAGGAGTTCAAGGCGTTTGTGGGCCTGACCTTCCCAGGTGTGTGCCGCAGAGGGCGCCGTGCGTCTGTGCATCCCTGAGTACTGGGAACAGAGTCATGATTCCGGGGCCAAGACCACCCTCCCCTGGCCATCCAGCCTGGCCCTCAGGGTGACATGGTCTCTCCTTTGTGTAGGCAGCGTCCTGGAGGATGAGCACCAAGGGATGGTCCATTACCACCTGCCTGGCGATGACCTCAGCTGGGCAAAGGTGAGCTTGGGCCCCAGCAGGCCCCTAGCAGTCACTCCTTCTCCAGTCAGCTTTTTCCAAGGAACAGTCACTTTCAGTTTCTCACTCACCCCAGGACCTACTAGGTTTGGGGTATTTATAGGCAAAATATCTGAAATGGGGAAAAAGTCGGATGAAAAAGGGAAGTTGCAGAGGGAACACAGCTGGGAAGAGTCAGGGTGGGGTGTGGCACCCAGGCCTGCTCACCCCAGGCAGGGGTGGGATTTCCGGTGCCTTTCCCACCCGCTGTGGCCAGAGGACTCCCAGACCCGCCGAGGCTCCTGGCCCTGGCTGGCCGACAGCCGCTTTTCCACTCGCCCAGGTGTTTGGCGTTCTGGAAAAGGCCAAGGAGAGGTACGGGGTGGACGACTACTCCGTGAGCCAGACCTCTCTGGAGCAGGTCTTCCTGAGCTTCGCCCACCTGCAGCCATCCGCCGAGGATGCAGGTCCGTGAGGTGCCGGGCGCTCGGTGGGCGTGCTCTCCGTCCACACCCACCCCGCCCTGCACCTCTCTTCTGATCACTGTTCTCTACGATGGAGATGAGAATCAAGGCACAGCATGGACTGGGTGTGTCGCTGCCTTCAAGCCAGGAAGCAGCCCAGGCGGGCCTGCGTCTCAGGTGGTCGCGAGCCCGCTCTCCAGAATCACGATCATCTGTGTGGGCAGGCCGCGGGTCTGGGCGGAGGGCACAGCCACACCCCCACGTTCGCACCTGGTGAAGCGGAAGGCCAGCAGGCTGGGGCAGCCAGCTCATGGGCTGCCTGGGTATGGACAGAGGGGTGCCTGTCGCCATCCCCAGGGGCCACGTGGCAGAACTAGACGCTGAGATCTTGGCTCCCAGCACAATCGCGTGTCCTGGGAGCCCCTCTCCGGAAACCGTGGACACTGCACCAGACAGAGCCAGCCCTGCACCCGGCGTCATCCCACTAGCGTCTTCCAGGGGGACGCCACGGGCCGGGAAGCCAGTCGGGGACCACCTGGGGCTGAGCGGCCATCCGTGGAGGGCGCACCTAACGCGCGGTGATTGTCTGGAAAATAAAGGCTGGGAGGGAAGGCAACCATGTCTGTGAGTCACGAGATGGAGCCCGTGGCCCTGACACCCACCCAGCCCCAGACAAGCCTCTTGTATCGAGTTCCAGATGAGAGCAGGGGGACTTCTGGTGGTCCAGCGGTTAAGACTCCATATTCCCAATGCAGGGAGGCTCAGGTTTGACCCCTGGTCAGGGAACTAAGATCCCACATGCTGCAAGGCATGGCCAAAAAAAAAAAAAGATGAAAGCGAGAGTTCGTTTTTCTCAAGTTGCAGTAAGTTTACAGAACTCACTGCTGCGGAAGAAGCCTAAACTGCAGGTACAAAAGCAGGTTGGATAAATGGCCCCTCGAGAGACCCTCCATCCAGGGTGAGGGAAGAAGGCCGGGTTGGTGGAGGGTGCGGGTCTGGGTGAGCCCGGGGCCTCTGGCTCCAAGGTGTTGTAGGCGGAACACCATTTTCCAGAAATGTCTTCAGTGTCAGCTCCCTCTTGATGGGTGCATCCTTATTTCTTAACAGCTTTCTAAGTTCCTGTGATTTGAATCTCTGAGCCTTTTACAGTCCCTTAGAATTCATGGGCTTAGAAAAGGTTTGTTTTCGGTTCCTTTGGTACAGTTTCAACTTTGCATTTTTATTAGTCTCTCAAAGCTTATGAATGCTGAAAATAGTTTCCAGTAGCTGTCTCTCCCTTTAAGGATCTTCAAAACATTCTCATTTAGTTACATGTTATAAAAAAAAAATAATAAACACAGGAGTGGTTGCGGCCCTGAACGTTGCCCAACAGCAAACGTCCGAGAGGTGGGCTGCGGCTTATCTGCAGGTGCGTGGCTGCTGTGGCCGGGTTGGGTTTGCCGGTTCTGCGAGGACAGAGGCCAGCAGGGCTGGGCTGCGTGTCTCCCAGCAGCCCTCTTGCAGGGCATCCTGGCCTTGTTTTTAACCCCTACGATAAACTTTAGAAATTCATCATTTTTCCCTTCACTGCCACAAAACACGGTGTGAGGAAAGGTGCTCAGGACTGAAGGACAGCATGTGTGAGGCACGCATGCCGAGATCAGACAGCACAGTCCCGGGAAGAGGTGAGTTCGCTGGCGGGAGATGAGGTGGAGACGTGCGGAGGAGACTGGCAGGATGAAAGCGGGGCTCTGATCCGAAACCCTGTCGGCAGGCATGGAAAGGAGGGTGTAGGCACAGCCTAGCTGCAGCAGCGGGGACCAGAGAGGAGGCACACGGCAGGTGGGAGACGAGCCACGCTGCACAGAGCTCTTGACAGTGTAGGGGAGTCGCTTAGGAGACACCCCAAGAGCCACAGATGGGTGCCACTGTTAGGGTCCACGTGGCACCCCCAGATTATCTGCAAGGCTGCTGGGAACCCAGCGTTGGAGTCAGGTGTCTTCCAGAAGCCAGGATTAGGGCCTCAGAAGCCCACACCGCAGCCCTGGTGGTTTGCTTTGAGATGTGGCAGCTCCAAGCCCAGGGTTGGGTGGCAGGACCTGCAGGCTCTCCAACAGGAGGGTCAGCCTGTTCCCCCCACCCCCAGCATTGTCCACTCTACTCAGACCTCCCAGGCCAGACAGTCCCTAGAGATGCTGGCCCCAAACGGCTGCCACGCCCACCAGGGCAGAGGTCATGACTTCCTTGCCTGCATGGCCTGGTCCCAGCTCCCAAGGGCTAGAGATCGCGACAGGGCTGAGGGCCAGGCCTGTGAAAGAGTCCTGCCCGCGGTGTGACTCCGCTGAGACGGTTGGTGGACATGGGGGCCATCTTTCAGCCTAACGGCTGCACCCAGAACCAAAGGCCCTCAGGAAGGAAGGGGGGTGGTGATGCCCAAGGGTGGGGGGCGGGCCTGAGGCCGAGCCCCTCCTCTGCCTTCACCACGGGGAAGGGCTGCCAGGTAGACAGTCACCAGAGCAGCCCCTGTGGAATGAGACTGCACCGAGTCTGTTGAACACACCAGAAAACCACACCGCAGGGGTTTACAAAGGACAAGAGTTTATTTCTCTGCTGAGTACAAAGTCCAGAGAAGGCAGGTGTTCTGTCACCGGTGGTCAAGGTCTCAGGGAGCCAGACTCACCTGCCTGCTCCATCGAGGTATAAGCCTCCCTCCTCAAGGTCACTTTCCAGGGTCCAAGGTGCCACCAAAATCCCGGATGACTGAGCAGGAAGCAGGGGGCGGAGCAGAAGGGCACAGCTCCTGACTGTTACATGCTGTGTGTCCCTGTCATCATCCAGAACGCAGGCCCACGGCCACACCAGATGCAGGAAGTTGGGACACACAGTGTTTTATTTAACCAGGCATACCCCCACCTAAAGAACCCCTGATACCAGGAGACGACCTCAGTCTCCACGGTGACTGTGCTGGGCAGGCTGCCTCATAGAGGAAGTGAACCTTCACTGTCCACCTGGGCTGATGAGACCCTGCCTCAGCCAGGAAGACCCGGGAGTGGCCTCTCTGCTGGTCTGTGACCAAACCCCAGGGTCCACTTCCCCACCTCACCCCCACCAGAGGGCCCTAGCCCTGGCGCTGCAGCGGCTCAGAAAAGCCAAACAAACTTGACAGTTTCTGGGCAAATCCCGACCCCAAATCTTTAGCCCGGCACTTGAGAGGAAGCTAAGGTCACCCCAGTCTGGTGACCTTGGGGGACCCCTGGGCCCAGACTCACAAAGCAGCAGAAAGACTGAGGCAGAGAAAGCCCAGCAAAATGGGGGAGGGAGCCAAGGTCAGCATCTCCAGGGGAAGGCTGGAAGGCAGGTCCCCCGCGCTCAGACTGGGAAGGACCACACAGGCAGGTGGAGGAGGGGCCGGCCCCTCCCGCCTGGGCTGGACTCACCCCCAGCCCCGCTGAACTCAGTCCGGGTCCTCCAACACAGAGATGGTGGTGTCCTAAAGCCCCAGGGCACTCACTCAGACTTGACCCTTGTGGGACCAGAGCCTGGGAACGCTGAGGGGGGCGGTTCCAAAAGTCTGACCCACGGCTAGACTGCCAGCCAGGGCAGTCAACTCCTGCGGCTTCATCTGAGGGACACCCCACACCAGCTGCTATTCAGTTCACCTCTGGGGACCAGTTCGATGGTTGTGGCATGAGCCAGCAAGGCCCCCTGGGACCCCCATGCCCACACAGATGGGTCAGTGTGAAGGTGAGTGCCACCCACCCTCATCCACACCCCGCTGTCTGTGCTAGGGGTCCAAGCTACAGCTGCAGATGGGCCATCCTGGCTTGAGAGGCTAAACTCCACCCACTTCTGCATCAAGAAGACCCACAGGGGCGCCACGAGGCACCCCCAACACCAAGGTCAGGGTTAGGTTGTTCACCTGACTCCGCAGCTGAGGCCAGCAGGCCAAGTATACAGTGTCCACTCTCAAGACACAAGGCCCCATTCCCTGAACCCTAGCTCAGGTCTGACTGCAAGCTCCTGAAGTTCCTCTCCTTTCCCCAAGAGAGGGCAGGGCACCCTAAAGAGGGTTCAGGCTAAAGGTGGGCCGGGAGGCTGCCCAAGGAGGGGCATGAAGATGGCAGGGCCCCACAGGCCCCCCAGGAGAGACGGCCAGGAGGCAGCACAGCACTGGGCCGAGTCCCCTCGCGCCTGACGGGCACACGTGGCCTGGGCTCCGAGCAGGCGGCGCTGAAGCTGGGGTCAGGCCCAGGGAGCGGGGGCCCTGCCTTCCTTCCTCAACACACAGGGCTGCCCGGGCCCCACAGGTGCCAGCGTGAGAGGCCTCCAAGGTTGGAGAAGCCCGAAGTCCACTGGCTGCAGATGGCCAGAGCAGGCCTGGGGCCACAGCGGCTCACCCAGTGAAGGGGCACACCTGCCCCCTTCTCTGGCCGGGCCCTGCCCCAGGGTGGGCAGCTCAGATACAGTCATACCTGGTGCGCCTGACCTCCCCGGGGCAGGAATGGACATGGAGCTCCAGGCATGAAAGCCAGCATAAGCCCCCAGCCCTGCAGCCCCTCCTTCAGGCAGTCTGTGCCTCTCGGGGCTGGGGGAGGTGCTCAGGACCCCAAGCCCCCACACCGCGGAGACACAGAGCCAGGGAGGCCTCCCTACAGCTGCACACCCTCACAGGGCAAGTCCTTTCAGGCCCAGCCTGGCTCCCAAGATGGACAGGCCAGCACCTCCCCTTGGGCGCCTCCTCCTCCAAGGCTCCTTTGGGGGTTGCAGGCATTCACCCCTACAGACAGGAGTCAGTCCTCTTTGACCCACCTCCTCCTCTAATGCCTCTCCCAGGGTCACAGATACATTACAACCGCCCTGACCCCACCCAAACCCCTTTCTTCCACTTGGCTGGACCATGCCTGCCCTTGGCATAGTCTGTCAGCAGTGGGCAGACATGCTTCACAAGTGGATACAAATGCCTGCTCAAAGCTCCTGTGTGGCCCTCGTGAGCAACTCAGCGCAGGCACTCCCTGGCCCTTTCGGTGTGCAGGGTACCAGCCTGCAAGGGCAGGCACTGCAGAGGTCACCAGGCCCATAGCAGATAAAGCCAGGGGGACAGTATGTCTTGATGGGGGCATGCTCCTCAAAGTGAGTGCAGCCCTACATTACCAGCAGGTGGACCTCGACCCCGGGGGTTAAGGGAGAGGGGCTCAGGACACTGGCCAGGGCCACAGGATGCCTCCGGTCTGGAGCTCCAGGCCTGGCGCTAGCTGCCCAGGGCCCTGTCCAGGAAAGCCCTGCCCCACCCCATCCATCAAACTTACACCAACCACCTTCTGAGGTCCCCAAAGGCCATAGCTCCCGGGCCCTCAATCTCCATGGCCTCAGCAAGTTGGCACTGGGGGCTGGGTGGGAAGGAACCCAGGACTCCTCGAAGGCTGGGGCCGGGGGACCTCCAGAGTTTTATTTTCTCATGTTCCTTCCAAACACACCCTGCTGAATCTCAAAATGGCAAAAGCCAAGATGCTCAAAATTTTAAAGCTCAACAGCTGGTAACACACTTGATAATGAAATCAACAGTATTTAGAAACAAATTGGATTAAATTCGTAAGTGAATAAATCATGCTTTTACATTTAATATAAAATGTGTTAAAAAAAATTTTACTTGCATGCCAAATTCTATTACTCTAGAACATTAACAAAAAACAAAACCCAGATTCCAGATGGCTGTGTCTCCGTCCTCCTTCCCCCACGTTGGTGATCATGTGCTTGCCCCATCCCCACCCTGGGTGTCACTGTGTCCCTGGGCAAAGGCTCTGGATTCCAAGCCTTCCCGGCACACACTGATGTGGCACTGAATACGGGGCTCTGACACGCTGCCATGACTTCCTTATGGACTTCCGGGAGATGCAGGCCTGACCCACCAAGGCCACACCATCCCCCAACACCGACCCTCTGGGCCTCTTCACTGGTGCAGGGCCTGAGCCACACTTCTGCCCCACATAAGCCTCCATCAGTGGCCATGGCAGCTGTGACAGTGATGCAGAAATAAATGTCCCCCTCCCCAAATCTAAATGCAGAGGGGAACAGGGACCCAGACTGACTGCCAACCCCCACCTCCCAGGTATGCTGGTGCCAAGGCAGAGGACACAAAAGGCAGGCTGCCCACCCCTCCGCCCCCGGAACTGTCTTCCGTCCCCAACTCCTCACATGCCCCTTAGCCCAGGCTAGTTTTAGGGGCACACTTGACACCTTGGACAGGGCCAGAGGAACTGGTTGATGGAAAGGGGCCACCATCCACTGGCTGGGAAAACCACATGGAGAGGAAAGCAATGATTCGAAGACTTCAATCACAGATCCATCCATCCATCCATCCGGAGCCACCAAGCCCCACGCTGGTCTGTCCTGTCCTTTCCCCTGATATTTGACCCATTTCCAAGCTACACAGGTTCCTTCCCCCCAAAAAGGGCCTTGACTCTGTTCCCTTCTCTTCCTTGCGGCACCTACCTGTTCACACGCCCGTCTAGGGTGGGAGCGCACCTTCTCTCTCCCCACTAACAGTCACGAAACGTTGACTGCTTGCCAGGCGCAGCTCAGAGAGGAGAGGGACACAGCGGTAAACAAACCCGAAAGCCCTGGCTCGCTCAGCGCCGGGTTTTACTCCGACAGTCTCCTGCCTGGTCCTGGGCCTCTAACCCTCAGCTTCCTGCCTTTGCCAGAACGCTCTGACAGTGCAGGATGAAGCCTTGGCGCCGTTATGTTGCACAAGTTCTCTGTTCCTCCAAACGCTAAACTCCACCTTCCTAGCCCCGGTTTCTTCCAGGGAGCCTTCGCACCTTTTGTTCCCTCTGCTGGGCATGCCCTTCTACTGCAGGCCTCAGCGGCAGGGTCAGCTCCTCGGAGGCGCGTTCCCTTCTGCACACTGTCTTCCACCCTGCCTTCTGCAGCCCGCTTGCTCTGGCTGCAATACCCCCTGCCTTGTCCTCCCGGTACAATTCCGCCGGCACAGAATCTGCGACTGCAGGATCACCCCTCACGCCATGCACGGTAATTGCACAGAACCCATCCCCGCAACTGCCCTGCTCGCGAAGCCGCCTGTGCCCTACGGGTGCCCAAGGCCAGCCGCCAAAGCGTGCAGCGCCTGCGCACACTTCCTCCAACCCCTCCGCCAGGCCGCCCGGGACCCTCCACGAAGCGGCGGGGTCCGGAGCCCAGCGACCCGAGACGCCGCCTGGCCCGCAGCGCGCCCGGTGCGCACGCGCACGGAGAGGGGCAGGCCCGCAGCCGCCTTAACCCGCTCCGCGCCAGCCAGTGAACTGTCCGCACGAAGCAGCCCTCCCAGCCCCAGATAGCTCCCAGCTTGACGGCCCCACGAGGCCTGCAGCCCGCCCAGGGAAGCCCCGGTGGACCCTCCAGAGTAAGCGCCCAGTCGCCTCTCTTCCCAAACAGGCCTTGGCCCTTTAACACTCTCGCTCGCGCCCATTGGCCGATGCGCTCGACGTCATCGCTGCGCGCCGGACGACCGCGCCTTCCCGCTCCCTAATCCTGACGCCAGAGCCGCGCCGCCCTCTGAGGCTGAGAAGAGCGGGAGGAGGTCGCGGCGGCGGGAAGATGTAAGTAGGGGGAATCCGACCCCATCCGAGCTTTGGGGCCCTCCCTCCAGGTTCGGCGGGGCGCATCGTGGAGCCGGCCCGCTCCCTGGCCACGCGGTGGTGACGGCAGGGCCTGTGGCGTCGCTCCGGGTTTGAGAAGAAAGAGTGTGGCCCGGGGCGGGCTGAGTGGGAGGCGCCGAAGCCGCGGCCCGGAAGTGGTCGGGGCCGCGGCGGGCGGAAGGGCGCCCTCGTTTCCTCGGCTCTGCAGCGGGACCAGTGAGGCCCGCGGGATTCGGAGCGGCCGGGAACTCGGCTTCCGCCGTCCGGGCTCTCTCACCGGGTTGGAGACCCAGGCCCGCAACGCCGGGCCCTGCCCTGGAAGCGCCCGCGGCCCGGCTCCTGGACTGGGGAGTTGTGAGTGAACGCGGACGCGGGGCGCCGAGGTCGCGTGCGGGGCCGGGGCTGGTGGGTACGAGATGAATTTTGGGATGCCCTGGTTGACCGACTTACCCTCCCTTTGAAGCCATTAATTTCAAACATCGACTCCACGAACCTCTGCGGGGTTCCTGTGTGCCGTTCCCGGTGCTAGCCCCTGGGGTTACGGCCCCTAATGTCTTGGAGCCCAGTTTGACGGGTAACCCCAAAAGAGAGAATACAGGAAGGTTAAAATCGACGGAGCAGAGGCGTGGCCTTTTCCAATCTCGCATGGAGCAGAGGCGTGGCCTTTTCCAATCTCGCATGAATTGTGCCTGAAATGTACTTTTAAATGGAGAAGGTGCTCCGAAGATGTGAGCTGAAACGCCATCTACTCGAGATATAACTAATTGTTTTCTCCTATTTTTGGCTGTTGGACGCGCACCTTTCCAGAGGATGGGGGAGGTAACCACAGTCCTGTCACCTGAACTTATGTGAACAGAATCAACCTTTGCTTTCTAGCCCTCTGGCCACACCCAGAAAAGCCTTCCCTTACTTTGTGTTCTCAATTGAGTTTTGAGAATAAACGGTGGTGCTTGTTTTCACAAAGAGCAGATCTTTAGGACTGGGGTGGGGCCCTAGAATATGTATTCTAGGTCAGCTGTGTAATAAGGTAGCCTCTGGCCACACGTGGCTACTGAGTACTTGGAATGTACCTAGTTGAAATTGATGTGTCTAAAAAGCTTGGCATGGGGAAGCATGGATATTTTATTAATCATTTTGTATGCTGATTGGTGAAAAGATTATGTTTGGGGTGTAGTGTGTCAGATAAATACATCACTCACAGTTATTCATCTGTTAACTAATGCTTTTTTGCAACGTAATTCCAAGAAAATTTTAGAGTACTCTTGTAGCTGGCTCTCTTTCTATTGGACAATACTACTCTTGATGACCGTAATGGGGGCAGTCCCGGGACGCCTGCTGATCACTCAGAGGTTGTGTGACTTCAGAGCCAAGAGTTTGTCTCAGAGAAAAGCCTCCAAAGCCTTTCTCCTAACATTAGCTAACATTTGTTGAGCCTTAACTAGATCCCCAAGACTCTTTTAATGGTTAATTTGGTTTATGTTCTTGACAGCTATGAAGCTTAGGAACTCTCTGTCTCTCCTTAATGCGGATGAGAAATTGAGGCTCAGAATGATTAAGGGATTGATATAAAGACACAACAAAGCTTTGAATCAAACCCAAACAGGGGGACTTCAGACTCTTTAAGCACTGAATTATACTCACTGATTGTCCAAGCAAGCACACTAACTGTAAACAGTTTGCCTACTGAGTGTCTGTAGTGCCTTATTTATTATTTTTTTTAAAAATTTTGGCTCTTTTGTGTGTGTATGCCCTCTCATTTTGAGACATAATGTCTAAAAAGACTTCATAGGCCTGAAAAAGAACAGCACAGGTAATACTCTGTTTTGCACTCTCATTTGCTTGTCCACAGCTGGGCACTCTTTCTTGAGTCAGAATGTTTATCCAGCATTTTGGCAGCACTGCACACATGGAAACAGGATCCTGATTGGTGGGCTGTGTCCAGGTTACTTACAGGAAGGTGAGATAGGAGTAGTTGAAGCTAACATCCTGAGATCTTTGCTTCTGCAACTCAAGCAAATTACACAAAACCTCACTGGAAATACTTAAAGGCAACAGCCCCAGGAAACAGAGCGCATAATGAATTAATAATTTGTTCTTGCGTAGTATTACTGATGACCTTTTATTGAGTACATGCTCCAGCCCTGGAACTTAGCTAAACCCTTACATGTGGTGACTGCATCCATTTCCAAAAATGTGAGCATACAGAAAAGTTGAAAAAAATTTAGTGCACTGAATAGTCACAGAATCACTACCTAGATTCTACAGGTTACATTTCTGTTGTGTTTTGTCTCACTTTACTATTTTTTAAATGTTCATGGGGGACGTTTCATTTGTTTGGTTATTAAATGTTTTGATACTGGTACCAGTCACTTGAAATGGTTTTTGCTTCCAGTCATAATATCTATCCAATGTATCCTGCAAAGATTCCAGCAGTGAAGAGAGGTCGAATCCTGTCACTTAGGGTTTGCTCTGCTCTGCCTGCCTGTGTGCTCCTGTAGTGTCTAAAGGACTGTAGAGGGCTCACCGTCAAACTGGTGAGGAATGGGCATTGTGCTGCCTGTCGAAGGACAGGACACCACCACCCACACCACTGCTTAAGAAAAAGACAAGCCGAGCTGACCGCTTCTTCCTGAGTGCCTCCTGTGGGGGCGGGATCCCCTGAGGAAATGGCCCAGCCCGGGTGTTCCTGGCTTGATAGATAATCACTGCTGACTGTGTTCCTTGTTGCCTGCTCCTATGCTCAGCTTTTGACTGCAAAGTAGATTTGTTGCCTTGCCAATTTACTCTGAATCCTTTTATCTTGTTATTAGGCTGCACTTTGGCGTAAATTGCAATCGATTAGGGATCGTTTCTCAGACTCAAGTTAGACGTGAGAGTTCAGATAAGTGAGGCCGCCATTGCTGCTTTGAACACCTCAGAAGGGGAGAATGGATTTATCAGGAGTGAAAAAGAAGAGCTTGCTAGGAGTCAAAGAAAATAATAAAAAGTCCAGCACTAGGTAATCCTTCTGTCAGATTTTTCTAGTGCTACTTTCGGGGTGCTTGTTGCTAGGGACCCTCAGAAAGGGGGACATTGGAAATATCTTGAATTTTACAGTGAAAGTGTCCTAAGCCACAGACCATTTTGCTCTGTGGTGGTCTGGGGTTTCTGTCGCCCTTTGCATCCCCTTTTGGGTTGTGCTGTGGTTTCAGGGTTCAGCCCAAGGGGCATGTCATCTCACACTCTCCCTCACTGTCCAGGGCGCCTTCTCCCACCAAACGCAAAGACCGCTCTGATGAGAAGTCCAAGGACCGCTCTAAAGATAAAGGGGCCACCAAGGAGTCGAGTGAGAAGGATCGCGGCAGGGATAAGACTCGGAAGAGGCGCAGCGCTTCCAGCGGGAGCAGCAGCACCAGGTGGGGCTGGCGGGTCAGGGCCTTGCCAGGGCCACGGCCCTCTTCTTCTCAAAGAGCCTGCAGAGTGTTCTGTCTTTTTATTGATAAAGAAAGGACTCCGATGACTAATTTATGGCAGACTGGTTTGGGCTTTGCTCTGATCATACAGAGGACGGTGTTGGTTGTGGTTTGTTTGTTTGTTTGTTTGTTTGTTTTTTTGGAGGCGTTAGGAATGCAACATCTTGGGTTATGCTTTTCTCTTGCATGCTTTTGATTTGGAGTTGTGGTTGGATCACCCTAGCCTGGCTCGTTTCTTTTCCTTCTGTTGAAAACCAGCCTGTGTCAGTCAGTAGCTGCCTTCCAAGCTGAGCCGGGCCTCTGACTTGCCAGACTGCTCCTTTTCCTCCCAGTAGGCAAGGCTTCTGTGTAGGTAGGAAGCAGTCCTGTCACTGCACAGTACAAATGCTGTTTCTGTCCCTGCAAGGAGTTTGTTAGGACAGGGCTGGAGGGTGTCCGTGGGTGCTGGGGAAAGCCATGAGGCTTGAGAATATGAGCCCAGCATTTCCTCTTGTCTGGAGTGAGGAAGCACTGCTTCCGCCCGTGACCCCTCTCTCTTTCGCCCCTCAGGTCCCGGTCCAGCTCTACCTCCAGCTCAGGCTCTAGCACCAGCACGGGCTCCAGCAGTGGCTCCAGCTCGTCTTCAGCCTCTAGCCGCTCCGGAAGTTCTAGCACGTCACGCAGCTCCAGCTCCAGCAGCTCCTCCGGCTCCCCGAGCCCTTCTCGGCGCAGACACGACAACAGGCGGCGTTCCCGCTCAAAGTGAGCCCCTTTCCAGCCCCTCTTCTCCACCGGGGACTGGTCGGTTCAGGGGATCGCCTCCAAAACTCAAGTTATCTGGGACCTAAATTTACAGACTGGGGCTATAAGGTTACCATAGTTATTCCCAAAGTAGACCAAAAAAGGAGTTTCACTGTCTTGATAGGATTTTGTATTTTTCAATTAGGTCCAAGCCACCGAAGAGAGATGAGAAGGAAAGGAAGAGGCGGAGCCCTTCCCCGAAACCCACCAAAGTGCACATCGGGCGGCTCACCAGGAATGTGACCAAGGTGAGGTGTCCTGCTCTGTCCAGTGGACACTGGGGTGATTCTTGCAGATGTTTAAAATGGAAAATGAGAAGCCCGCCTCTGCCAGAAGGTAAACGTAAAATGCAGCATTTCTGAGGGCTGAGTTGGTGGCATGTGACCGAGTAGAGCACTGGTTACTTCATTTTAACGGAGTATATTTTGTGTGTGTGTGTGCTGAGAGTGTGGTCATTGTGTGGTGAGTCCTCTGACTTTTACACAAGTGATGGGAGGGTGAGCCTAAGTGACCCTTCTTCCTCCCTAGGATCACATCATGGAGATATTCTCCACCTATGGGAAAATTAAAATGATTGACATGCCTGTAGAAAGGATGCACCCCCATTTGTCTAAAGGCTACGCCTATGTGGAGTTTGAGAATCCAGACGAGGCTGAGAAGGCGCTGAAGCACATGGACGGAGGTAAGTCCAGCCCTGCTCTGACCTGTCCCAGACCAGCTGCCCACCATACCTGGTGTGATGAGAGCTGATTTCCAGTCTGGCTGCATGTGAGAATTTCCTTGGAGCTCTGTCAAGATTCCAGTTCTTACTCAGTGGGTGTGTGTTTACCAAAAACATGTTTTACAGAGCATTATTCTTGAAAAAGTATTCATCAAATATGAATATATTAGCATTTTAAGAATATTTCAATCTGTTAAAACTTAAGGATCAAATGAAGGATTTTTTTTTTCTTCACAAAGTATTTGACTATAATGAAACATCATTTTTATATGGGAATATTTTCTTAATCCTCCCTGAGTTACTTTCTGTTTTGCTAAAATGGCATTTTTAGGATAACTTTCTGAATCCACAAATTTTACCTCTTTCCTAAAACGCATCTTAACTGTTGACGACATTTACAGCCACTTTGTATTGGCTTTGACAACCTTTGAAGGACTGTGAACATTTGTCAGTCATTTCGCATCTTGAATAGGCAGCACATTAAGGAGTGTGGGTTTTGCTGGGCCCGCTTGCTGCTGCTGTCCTCCAGGCAGCGGAGCTGAGCCAGAACTGCCCGAGCCACATGTGGGTTGCCAGGCTGAGTGGGGAGAAGAGTCTGAACCCCTGAGAACCTTGGCATCCTTGGAGGCCCTCTTACATGTTTGAAAGATAATTGCCCTTGAGCCCTGGTAGTTTGTATAGTACAAAATTTTCCTTGGTACTTAGGTACTAAGTCTTCCAATCTGCTTAAACCCCCCTGGAGTGTTTTCAGGAGTTCAGCATAAACTGGGATCCGTCACTGCAGGCATCAGCTCTTAACTTTGTGAGTCATGCCTTTGTTTTAGAGAGTGTCAGCCTTGTGTTTGATGGAGTCTGAGCACTTGCTAAAAATTTAGGAGGCTTAGACACATTCAGGATGTGTGTGGTGATAAGTATTCCACCTTGTCTTAAGATTCTGGTAGGACTTTTTCTCTGTCTTGTATTGTGCTGAATGGAACCGCTCAGTCTCCAGAAAGAAATGGAAGTGCTTGGTTTTTACTGGCAGCTAGCTAGAGGATGGGAGAAGGCAATGGCAACCCACTCCAGTGCTCTTGCCTGGAAAATCACATGGACGGAGGAGCCTGGTAGGCTGCAGTCCATGGGGTCACGATGAGTCGGATACGAGTGAGCAACTTCACTTTCATGCATTGGAGAAGGAAATGGCAACCCACTCCAGTGTTCTTGCCTGGAGAATCCCAGGGACGGCGGAGCCTGGTGGGCTGCCATCTGTGGGGTTGCACAGAGTTGGATACAACTGAAGCAACTTAGCAGCAGCAGGTAGAGGATGACTTTTCTCCTTTTTTTTCCCTTTTTTTTTTTTTTCTTTGTTGTTACATAGTCAGTGCCCATACTATACCTAACCAGGACTAGCTTTTGGCCATGGGCCAGGGCCACCTTAGGCTGTATTTACTTAGGCCTTTCAAGTATGTTCTGAACATAGGTGCAAATCTTGGATTGGTACTGATAGAGTCAGTACCTCAAGTTCTCTTGAAAGCAGAAGCTGAGAAGGTAGAAGAGCCTGTCACCCACCCTTTGGGAACACACTGGCTGTGCCTGGTCCCCTGGGATTGTTGGGTCTCTGCCTCAGATTCCTTCATTCTCTCTCTCCGAGACCCTGCAGGTTCCTCATGCCCCATTCTGAGCTGCCTCCCCTCGAAGTTCTGCGGTTTCATTCACTTGCGTGGCTTTAGTACTGGCTGCACACAGACTCGCCCCCCGAGGCACTTGGTGCAAACTTTGTTTAGACAGACTTGAAGTCTCCTGAACATCATGTCCTTTGTTCCCTACCCCAGAAATAGTTCCTTCTTTGTCTGATGCAACCCTTCCCCCCTCCCCTCCACCCCCAAATCACAGCTCATCCAGACACCTGGTGCCAATCATCCTTCACCTGACCCTGGGTCAGGCTCCTGGGATTGTCCCTTGCTGTCATCCCCTGAGTTCTTATATTTCACCCCATCTCTGTCCTGCTGAAGCCCCGACTGTCTCCTCTCTCCTCTCTTCTGCCCCCTTCCATTTGCTTTCAAGTAGGACGTTCAGGTGCAGCACCCGCTTCCAGCTCAGGGTGGGGGCACAGCCCTTCCCTTCACTTAGAAAGTTCGTGCCTGTTCTTTAGGTGCTGACTTGAATGGGCTTCCCCAGCAGGCTATCCCAACACACCAAGATGGAGTCCTCAGTTAGGGTCCTGCCCCCGGTGGGTCTCCTCATGAAACCTCCAGTGATAGCGATTAAGCCGCTTTTTCTCTGTGACCAGAATGGGTTGTCCTTTTTCCCTCCAGGCTCCTTTCTGTCTCGCCCACCAGGGTAGGTGCTTGTTAGATAGGTATTTTGTGACTTTATCCTTTTTTCAATAGGACAAATCGATGGCCAGGAGATCACTGCCACTGCTGTGCTGGCCCCCTGGCCCCGGCCACCCCCCCGGAGATTCAGCCCTCCCAGGAGGATGCTGCCACCTCCTCCTATGTGGCGCAGGTCACCCCCACGGATGAGGAGAAGGTGGGTCACTCTGGGGTTTCATAAGGAGCTGATTAGGACCTTTATTGACAAAGTGAGGGGGCAATGACTTTGGGACCTTGTCCAGCCCCGCCTGCCCCCTAATGGGGGTGGGAAAGCAGCATTGGCACAGATGGCTTTGGAGGTCCTTCCAGCCGGGGAAGGGAAGAGCTGCCAATTGCAGCTGCTGCCCGCCCTCTGACCGGAAGGGTCAGAGGAGTAGGGAACAGCCTTGGCAGAGGCCAGGGTTGAGCCATGCCTCCTCTTCTAGTGCTGGCCAGCTGCACTGCACGGCCCTTGGAGACAGAACCCTTAGTCTCCGGAACGTTTCCGTCTTCCCCAGGGCTTCTGTTGGTGCCACCCAGAGGGATCCAGCTGTGTGACTGGCAAGTTAGAGCCAGGCCGCTCTGTGTAAAGGTGGCTACACCCCTGTGGTCATAGGCTTGGGTTTCCCGTCTGACACCGTGCCTCCTCTTCCCCGCAGGTCGCGCTCCCCGCGCCGTCGGTCGCCCGCGCGCCGTCGCTCCCGCTCTCCAGGCCGCCGCCGCCACCGCAGCCGCTCCAGCTCCAACTCCTCCCGATAGGCGGGGCTCGGAGCTCTGCCCCTGCGACTCCCTCCCACCTCCCTTGTCCATTTCCAGGGAGTCACTGGGAGGAAATCGCTCCCTCGGGGCAGGCTTCAAGGTGGAGGCAGCGGGGTTCAAGTGGCAGGAGTGTTGTGGGTCTGGGGTCGTGCTTGTAAAGATGCCCTCCAGTTTTCTAGCTAGAGCGACTCCACGTTTCTAGTTCCTGAGAGTTTAGCGGCAGAGCCAGCAGGGGTGAGCACGGGGCTTCCGGTGCGGGGACAGCCCCAGCCTGGGGGCCTATCTTCCCATTCCACAGATGACTGGGGCTGGGCTAGGGCTTCCCGCAGGAAAGGCGTGCTTTTAGGCAACTGCTGCTCCTGTTAGCCTGGCCCAGCTGGAGTCCTCTTCTAACCTCTAGGGTCAAATACCACCCCCACCACCACCATCTGCCCAGAATGGTTCTTTACGCATGTAGTCATGTGCAAGGACACACACACACAGACCCCTCTTTCTGAAATCGTTGAGAGCCAGCTCTGCCAGGTCATCACAGAACCCCACCCCCACCCCAACTCCACTGTGTTGGTATTCTTGGTGGTCTTGCTGGTTACCTTGGCAGCGTGTACATTGCTTTTTCAGCTTTTGTTGTACAGTCAGTACTATAAATTTTGAGTTTTGTAACTTTGTAGCATTTTAGATGATGTTGTGTTTGTACTTTGTTGTGTAGAGTAAAAGAATTGTGTTGAATAAACCTAGGATTAGAGTGCAATGTGTGCCGTGTTCACTGCCTCCTTCCTGTCCCTGCCCCCCAAGGCTGCTTCAGTTCTGAGGGATTAAACACAACTGCCTAAAATAAATGTTTGGTTTCATTTCCAAAGTCATAGCTGCAAAACACTTTAACCAGGAAAACTTTGAAAATGTTTATCTTAGTTCCCTGGCCAGGATCCTGCCTCCTGCCTTGGGAGCACAGTCTTAACCACTGGACCACCAGGGGAGTTACCAACTGTGTGTTCAGGAGCCTTGAATTCTGCCCGACCAAAAAGGTGGATCTGATTCCCTGCAGTGTTAGATGGCCATGGAAAAACTTACCACCTCAAAAATGAGTGTGTTCCAAAAGGAAGAACGCTTACGACATTATAATCCCTTGGCCCTTACTGTGTTCAGCGTTTCCAAACCGAATGCCAGCACAGTTTGTGTTCAGCAGGACTGAGGGCAAAAGGAAGCTGTCGCCTCCCCCTCTCCCAGGAGGAGCCCCGGTGGAGTGAGCAGCCTCTTGAGAAGGTGAATGGTCAGTTCTCTCACCAGGCTGTGTCCCAGGCTAAGCTGCAAGTCTGGTTCCTCGCCGGCAGGAAGTAGCGCTCGAGCTCCCACGCTCTGCGGGGTGGCCGGAGCCAGGTCCGCGCAGCCCCTGGCCGCCGCTGAGCGCAAACCCCTGGCTCCGTGACTTACGTGCAGTCCAATCCGCGGGGCCCAGATGACCTGCTCCGCGGAGCCCGAGGCTCCGCCCGGGAGGAGCGGCCCGGGCCCCAGGGGCGGGGCGGGCGGCAAGATCACACCCCGGCGCCGCGACCTGCCCATTCTCGGCCAAGATGGCGCTGGCGTCGGGAGTGCGCGTCCCTGCGCGCGCCCTGCTCCGTCCGTGTGGGTGACCGGCGCGGGGCGCGTGGGCTAACCGATCTCACGCTGACCTCCGCAGGGGCGCTGCTCTGGGGCACGACCCTTGGGCGCAGAGAGCCGGCGGCCGGCGGCGGCGGGGACGGCGAGCGGCGCTTCGGGAGCCAGCGTGTGCTGGTGGAGCCGGACGCGGCCGCAGGTAAGCGCCCCCGAGAGCCCGGCATCCCCGCGGTGGGGAACGGGGCGCCGCCGGCAGCAGAGCGGGCTCCGCGGTGGTCTCCGGCTCCGGACCCAGACCTAGAATCCGGACCCGGGAAAGCGCTCGAATTTCTAAAGATCCCGAGATAAAGCCTGATTTTTGAAGTAAGTTTCTGTTGAGTTCAAAGCTAAGGGTCATCACCAGTCGAGTTGTTTCACCACGACCACCACCACCCCCCACCCCTCCACCCAGTTCATTATGAAGATAAACATGTTTCTGTTTTTAAAGTTTGGGGTATGTGCTCCTTATATAAGCTATTAACTTGGGAAGTGAAAATAATTGGAAGCATCTTGGAATAACATTTTTAACTTTTTGTTAATACTCCCAGGTGGCACAGAACCCAGCAGATTTTTTTTTTTTTTCTAATTACAGCCAGGAGCCACAAGTAAAATCACTCCTACCCACCCCCATCAGAACGCCTCTTAAAAGTCTCCAAGGGGGGTAAAAAAAGAGGTAGAAAGAGCACTTTTGAAAGAGAAAGCTGTGCTTTCTCCACCTGAGAGCCCTTCACAGCTAGGACCTGAGCTGACTTGGGGGCAGAGACAGATAGATTCACATTTTAGGACAAGCTGTCTCACGGCCTCCCAGCTCCGAGCCTCCTAAACATTCTGGCTTATCCAGGTTGGAGGTTGAGTTTGAGGTCAAAGCCAAGCACGGTTCTGTCTTCATTGCCAGACCCAGGTGGCCTTCAGGCATCTTGAGACTCAGAGGAATTAATGGAGTAAAAGTGCTTTATAAAATGTTTTCATTTAAGTGCCAAAGTGCTATCATGTTGATGCATGGCAGAAACCAACACAATATTGTAAAGCAATTATCCTCCGATTAAAAATATTTTTTTTTAAAAAAAGCTGATTTTAGATCCTGTTCAACATTCAAGAAACATTTATTTTGTACCTACCCCATGCCAGGGGTGTAATTATTTACCTGGTGATGTCCAAGCCCATCTGTTCACCTTTGGCCTCTACCTTTCCCCCAAATTCTTAGATATTGTCTCACTAAACAGCAAAGATCCAGAGTCAGCTTCAGAAACTTAACCTCCGAACCACGTTTGGGGAGCTCAGCTCTGAAAGTTCTGATTGATTCTTCTCTAGGATGACATTTCTGAAGCCCCTAGGGTCTGCCCTTGAGCCAGGAAGTGGGAACAGATGGCCTCAGCCAAGCCAGCAGCCTCCCTGTCTACAGGGGCAGGCCCTTCACTCCCGTTTTTCCTGCTGCTGGCAGAATGAATGTATAAACTGAGAGTTTTAAGAACATCCGGCCCCTGATATTCCTACCCTTGATCCTTAAACAAGTGTGAACCAGAACCCCCCACTGGAATTCCTCCTCGCACATCTAGTTCTTAGAGTTGCTCACTTAACAATAAGGCCGTCTGCTCCCAGGAGGATGTCAGACTTGGTATCTGGGAGAAAATTGGACTGATATCCTCATGAGCTCTTCATTTGTTTTGAACATTGATTTATTTGGGGGCGGAGGCATTGTGAGGGAAAAAAACGTGTCATGTAGGTTGTCTAAAAGTAAAATGCATTTAAACTCAAAAAAAAAAAGATCAACAAAAATGTGTATGTGAGTGCTCCCAGCATCATTACTCTAAATAGCCAAAAGGTGGAACTAACTCAAGTGTCTACTGGTCGGTGAAGGGATAAGCAGAACGTGCTGTACACAGATCGTGGAAAGTTATTTGACCTTAAGAAGGATTGAAGCACTGACACATGTTACTTCGTGGATGAACCTTGGAAACATTCAGTGAAAGCAGACAGACACAAAAGGTCACATATTTTCTATGATTCTGCTTACATAAAATGTCCACAGATGGCAAGTCCATAGGAACAAGAAGGAGATCAGTGATTAGTGATCCCTGGGTCAGGAAGATCCCTGGAGGAGGGCATGGCAACCCACTCCAGTATTCTTGCCTGGAGAACCCTATGGACAGAGGAGCCTGGTGGGCTTTGGTCCGTAGGGTCTCAAAAAGTCGGACACCACTGAAGTGACTTAGTACACACGCACAGGGCCTGGAACAGGAGGAATGGTAACTGCCGATGTGTACAGGGTTCCCTTTATCATAAGATACATGAATCTCACCTCAGTTTAAAAAACCCAACAGTTGTGTCTTCCCATGGCCTTCCTGTAGGTGACTGGGGGCACCTTTCTCATGCTGGTACGAGCTTTGTCCTCTTTGTTTTCAAACTAGGGGTAGCCGTGATGAAGTTCAGGAACCCCCCCGTGAACTCCCTCAGCCTGGAGCTGCTGACGGAGCTGGTCATCAGCCTGGAGAAGCTGGAGAACGACAAGACCTTCCGTGGCGTCATCCTAACTTCCGTGAGTGCTCCTAAGCTCCTCCCAAGGCCCCGAGCTCAGAAAGCCCTCCACACACATCACAGGCTGGAGAAAACCCAGGCGGCACGAGTGCAGGTGCAATCACAGGCCTTCAGGGGTCATAGTCCTGGGTGTGACTCGAGGGAGCCAGGCTGTGGGCAGCTGGTTCGCCCGCAGGCAGCTGATGCCTCTGTCCCAGGCCGCCTCCCAGACCCACGCAGTTGTGGGGCCAGGCCCTGGGGCAGGCCTCGGTGCTCCATACCCAGGCCTGGATATAGGTAAGAGTAGGTTCCTTTGGGCAGGGGTGACCTTGAAACCACGCAACTTCACGAAATCTGGACCCAGTGCAGACTTGGTTTTCAGCAGCTTCCTGGAGCCCAGGGTGGCCCCCAAGACTGTGCTCGTTTCAGAAGCGGTGCTCCCCTTCCCTCTCCGGGCAGGTCCTAGAGCCGAGGTCTCAGAGGGCAGGCTTTTTTCTTCTGAATTCTCCTTGGACCAAAAAGTCTTAGTTGCAGGTTTACAACAGTAGGCGGACAACAGAGCACCAGACAAAATGCAGCATAAATCAGTATGACTGAAAAGAAAAGTTATAAGAAAATGAAACCTCCTGTCAGAAGACTTTTTATGCCTTGCGGGATCCAAGAGAATGAGCTGGAGAGCCAGTTTTCATTTCCTCGCCCACACTGAATGGCAAGGATTAGTAGATTATCTCTGGAAGTCAAATGGCTTGTTGACAGATTTTCTTGGCGTTGGTTTCTACCTGGAAGGAGGTGTTAACTTCATATGCAACAAAAAGTATTGGCAGTTGCACAAACCACTCCTTTTCTGCTAAACATTCAGAAAACTAAGATCATGGCATCCGGTCCCATCACTCCATGGCAAATAGATGGGGAAAAAATGGAAACAGTGAGAAACTTAATTTTTTTGGGCTCCAAAATCACTGCAGATGGTGACTGTAGCCATGAAATTAAAAGATGCTTGCTCCTTGGAAGAAAAGTTAGGACCAACCTAGACAGCTTATTAAAAAACAGAGACATTACTTTGCCAACAAAAGTCCATCTAGTCAAAGCTATGGTTTTTCCAGTAGTCATGTATGGATGTGATAGTTGGACTGTAAAGAAACCTGAGCACCGAAGAATTGATGCTTTTGAACTGTGGTGATGGAGAAGACTCTTGAGAGTCCCGTGGACTGCAAGGAGATCAAACCAATCAATGCTAAAGGAAGTCAGTCCTGATTATTCATTGGAAGGACTGATGCTAAAGCTGAAACTCCAGTACTTTGGGTACCTGATGCGAAGAACTGACTCATTGGAAAAGACCCTGATGCTGGGAAAGATTGAGGGCAGGAGGAGAAGGGGACGACAGAGGATGAGATGGTTGCATGGCATCACCAACTTGGACATGAGTTTGAGTAAATCCGGGAGTTGGTGATGGACAGGGAGGCTTGTCGTGCTGCAGTCCATGGGGTCGCAAAGAGTCGGACACGACTGAGTGAGTGAACTGAACTGAATCAACCCTTATCAGGTACAGTCTTGACCAGGGAATCTAGCCTCATTTAGGGTTTTGAGCTGCTTCTATGAGATGTAA